TCGGGATATCGCTGCTCGCGAAAGAGGTTCGCGGAGCGCGATCCTGGGAGGGCTCGTCTGCTGGCAGTCCAATGCCTCTTATTTTTCTTCTTCTTCTTGTTATCTTTCGCTTTCTTTTCTTGCCTTTTGGGAGTTAGCTTTAATGTGTGACCAGATTTCCAGCTAGCTTACCATTGTTAGGCTGACCACCAGGCTTCAAGTCAACTCCAATCGTGTCATCATCGTCGTCATCTCCGTCTTCATCTTCGCCGTCGAGTGCACCGTGAAGAAGCCCATTTGCTTCGGCTGGCTTAGGAGGATTGACGGCAGCGATTGGAGCAGTAGGGGATGACTCTGCTCAAATGTCAGACTGGCTGCAAGGGGGTGGACTATGTATCTATACCATTTGGACTTCGACGATGTGTTTCTGGTGTCTTGGATCCCATCGTCGGTTTCGATACGCAGTCATGCAGTGTCTCAACACGTCGTTGCGATAACTAATTGATGAAAACGACAAAGCGACGTTGCCTGAAGGCGGGCATGTCTTGGCATGATCCATTAGCTCCATTGCATCAACAGGCGGATGAGGCGGTCTGCTATGATATGTGCACTTTGGCATTGGAGACTTGAAGGAGAAACTGGTTCGATATCAATTTCGCGTGACTTGATCATGGCGTATTATTGATGAGCTTTTTAGTGAGAGGCCCTATGCCCTTTATGGTTCTGCTGAGTTCTTCGAGAGGCACACATAGGGGCGCGTCTTGTGTTTTAAAAGACTGTGGGCAGTTGATAATGTTGAGTAAACGTTTAGTTATATGGATGGGCAAACTACTCTTGTGAGCACTCGTTCTTAGCCCTGAGAAGTAGAAATCAAAGGTACATTCGATTGGGCGGATTTCTATTCTCATCAACATACATGGATTGTGGGATAATAACGATCCCAGCAACTCCTGACTGCAAGTTCCCCCCTTGATTTCCTTTCCCATAGGCTGCACGATTAATCACCGGATATGTCTCCGATAGATATGCGACACTTCTGTGATGTTCCGCGTGAGGATTATCCTCAAAAATAGCTGCTCAGGGTTGATATGCTTGCTGGACGGAAAGGAGGGCGTTTGAATGTACATTTTTTGGCGTGCACATCCCCTCCTTAATGAGAATGGTATCTTCGTCCTGCGTTTTTATACCATTCACTTTCCAAAAAGGCATCCACTTTCCACGACTTGGACGACGCCGCCACGATCCCATCCATTTCACCCTTCCATACGAAGGTAGCAGCATCGATGTTCCGCAAGTTCCCATCGCGTAAGCAAATCTCCACCTGCACATGGGCCAACTCCTTGTAGCTTTCAGCTTCGAATTGGTATAACCAGTTGCGTTGATCGGAAGTCAAAGCGAAAACTAGGACGCCATCGACGCTTTGGCCCAGCTCTTTTGACGGCATCACTATCGGGAGGTCGGCTCCCTCGAAGATCCAGAGCTTATAGTCGAGTAAGCTCGCTTGGGTCATGTTGGCTGCGATGTCAAAATCGGGCTCAGCATCCGTCACGGACTTGAGCATCCGTGGGAGCATGAGTGGTCCGAGAAGGAATACGGGCGTAGAGCCCTTGAGCAGTTCTTCAAGCCTCCTCTCACTTAGGACGTTGTTCAAAGCCCGCTGATAGTCCCTAGGGTACCCGACTTTGTTCTCCATTTTGCCCAGCCACATATATATGGGAAACGTCAAAATCGTGAAACCAGAGGTAAAAAGTGAATTTGAAACTAAGAGGTGACCGGCTTAGTGCTTTCTGCGATGTGGGTAGAGTTGGTGAAGGGGAATGCGCTGATAAGGTGAATGGTGCGCATTCAATTTATCACTTCACAGCTAGGAGAGAGCAATCATATTCCAACTGCTCACACAGTCGCCGGCAGGAAATCTCCAGCATTGACCTCAGGCAGCGGCAAACAAAAACACTAACCAATGTATGTCCCTGGAACTAGAGTGGAGGAGTGCATCTAGAGCAAACTACCTGAGCTTCCTTTGCTGAAACACAACCTGATCTCACGGTAGAGAAGAAAGATCAGTTCAGGACACATCCTTGAGCACTTGCATCCTGCAAGGCTTGAACATTCTTTGGCACCAAATGTGCAAGTGAATCATTGAGCCGTGCCCTAGGGAAGCAACAGCAATCAGCCAGGCATTGGACAGGCAGTCATCACCCTCATGCGGTGCTTAATGCATTGTGAATGTCAGCCTAATGGGTGCCTGGAGCCTTGTTGCTGCCTTTACGCGGACAAGCACCTGCCCTGAAGAGATGCTGTGCCTAGTTTGGGGGCATGTTGATTGGTTCCAACTTGCAGCATCAGGATCTCCGACTGTGCCTCTGGAACGGTGGGTGAACGGTCATGAAATGCTACCGCAAAGCCAGCCATCAATGATCAAACCGATGGGACCACAGCCTAGGTTGGCGCTGTGGTTATGTGCTGATGCGTCCAGCCTCTCCATACCAACTGGGGGATCGTGGGTGTTTTGGCCCTCTTCACTTCATCGCAGGCATTGTTAATTAGGCTGCCAGGCTGTCGTGGCGTTGGCAGTCAAGCGTCCATCGCCTTCCAGAGGCTTCCAAGCAGCCACCCGGCCTTTGATTGGTCAGCAGCGTTGAATATGCTGAGTCATCACGCAGATTTCAGAGCAGCAACGCGGGACTAGCCGCATCTGGCTAGCGCAGCCAGGATCAGAGCTCCTCAAGCTTAGCTAATCCAGAGCCTCCAGCAGAGCAACTTCATCATCAGCCAGATCTGCCACCTTCAACATCTCAACGTCCCACACTCCCTCTTCCCTTGCTCTCCTAACTGTATTCTGGCCTTGCTGTTCCTGGTGACTTTACTGCTGTTGCTCTCATAGTCGCTGATTTCTGCTGGATTTCGAACGCGTTTTGCCATAGGGTCCTGGAAGCGCCTGGGAACAGCATCATAGACTGAGCTCTGTCTCGAGACAATACCTGCTTTTTTTATCTCCTCTTTTTCGTCGATTCTATCGACAGCATACCCTACCCTTCCCTCTCTCCCTCCTCCTTTCCCCTAAAGTGTATATTTGATATTTAGCCGACAAGATGTCTGGAGAGCCGGATCACGCCCACTCCAAGCACAAGGTCAACCTGAAGTGAGTTTTCCGCTGCCCCTTGGGTTAAGCAACATGCACCAAGCTCGAATGCTAACACAACGTCGTAGTGACCCTTCAGGTGCTGAGAAGAAGGATGTTAGTACTTCCTTTCCGAACGGTGACTCTCTACTGGTTTATGTGGGTGGGAGTTGACATCATAGCAGGAACTTGACACTTCGACCGCCATTTTAAAGAAAAAGAAGAAGCCCAACTCGTTGATGTAAGCTCTTTCTCAATGGGATTCCTCGCGTAGGTGCTTGTCAGCCCGGGCGCTAACATTTAGCAGTGTAACTGATGCAGTCAACGATGACAACTCTGTCATTGCACTCTCCAACAATACTATGGAAACTCTCCAGCTTTTCCGTGGCGACACAGTTCTTGTAAAAGGGAAAATGCGGAGAGATACCGTTTTGATCGTCCTCGCTGACGATGAACTTGACGATGGAAGCGCACGCATTAACCGCGTCGTCCGGCACAATCTTCGAGTAAAACACGGAGACGTTATCACCGTCCACCCTTGCCCGGATATCAAATATGTGAGTAGTGTTAATTCGCCCCTTTACCGCCAGATTGAAGCAATAATGTATCTGATGGTGTCGCTGGCAATAGGCCAAGCGAATCGCTGTTCTTCCAATTGCCGACACCGTTGAGGGGCTCACTGGCTCTCTCTTTGACGTTTTCCTTGCACCGTACTTCCGTGAAGCTTATCGACCAGTCCGACAAGGCGATCTATTTACCGTTCGTGGTGGTATGCGCCAAGTCGAATTTAAAGTTGTGGAAGTTGATCCTCCAGAGTATGGCATCGTTGCCCAAGATACAGTCATCCACTGTGAGGGTGAGCCCATTCAGCGTGAGGACGAGGAAGGGAACCTCAATGATGTTGGCTACGATGACATCGGTGGTTGCCGAAAACAGATGGCTCAGATTCGTGAACTGGTCGAACTTCCGCTTCGCCATCCTCAACTTTTCAAGTCGATTGGTATCAAACCCCCACGTGGTATTCTCATGTTCGGCCCTCCAGGTACTGGTAAGACCCTGATGGCTCGCGCCGTCGCCAATGAGACTGGTGCTTTCTTTTTCCTCATCAACGGCCCTGAGATTATGTCCAAGATGGCCGGTGAATCCGAGTCGAATTTACGTAAGGCTTTCGAAGAAGCTGAAAAGAACTCACCCGCCATCATTTTCATTGACGAGATCGATTCTATTGCGCCTAAACGTGACAAGACTAACGGTGAAGTCGAACGTCGTGTTGTGTCTCAACTCCTTACATTAATGGACGGTATGAAAGCTCGCTCAAACGTTGTCGTTATGGCTGCAACCAATCGCCCCAACTCCGTTGATCCTGCTCTTCGCCGTTTTGGGCGTTTTGACCGTGAGGTTGACATCGGCATTCCTGATCCAACCGGCCGTCTTGAAATTCTTCAAATTCACACTAAGAATATGAAGCTCGGAGAGGACGTCGACCTTGAGGCCATTGCGGCGGAAACCCACGGTTACGTCGGTTCCGATATTGCTTCGCTTTGCTCAGAAGCTGCTATGCAGCAGATTCGTGAAAAGATGGATCTCATTGATCTGGATGAGGATACCATTGATGCTGAGGTTCTCGACTCCCTAGGCGTAACTATGGAGAATTTCCGTTTTGCCCTTGGTGTTTCAAACCCATCTGCTCTCCGTGAAGTTGCCGTTGTCGAAGTTCCTAATGTTCGCTGGGAAGACATTGGTGGTTTGGAAACTGTCAAGCGGGAGCTCATCGAGAGTGTCCAATACCCTGTTGACCACCCAGAGAAATTCCTTAAATTCGGTCTGTCGCCATCCAAAGGTGTCTTGTTCTACGGACCTCCGGGTACTGGTAAGACTTTGCTTGCCAAGGCCGTCGCCAACGAATGTGCTGCCAATTTCATCTCCGTCAAAGGCCCGGAATTGCTGAGCATGTGGTTTGGTGAATCCGAGAGTAACATTCGTGACATTTTCGACAAGGCTAGAGCAGCTGCTCCTTGTGTCGTGTTCTTGGACGAACTTGATTCCATTGCCAAGTCTCGTGGTGGTTCTGTTGGTGACGCTGGCGGTGCTTCAGACCGTGTTGTCAACCAGCTTCTTACTGGTAAGCGAGCCCTTGCCCTGCTAGCTACTTTTCAGTTGGTCCTTACTAACCCGCTTTCTAGAAATGGACGGAATGACTTCCAAGAAGAATGTCTTTGTCATTGGCGCAACTAACCGTCCTGAACAACTGGACGCCGCGTTGTGCCGACCGGGACGTTTGGACACTCTAGTCTATGTTCCCCTTCCCAACGAGTCCGAGCGTGTGTCCATTTTGAAAGCTCAGCTTCGAAAGACCCCTGTTGCCCCTGATGTCAACTTGGAGTACATTGCTAGCAAGACTCACGGATTCTCTGGTGCCGATCTTGGTTTTGTTACCCAACGCGCCGCCAAGCTTGCCATCAAACAGGCCATTTCCATGGAAATCGACCGCACCAAAGAGCGAGAAGCGGCTGGCGAAGACGACGTCATGGATGAAGATGTGGAAGACCCTGTCCCGGAGCTTACTCGTGCGCACTTTGAGGAGGCCATGCAGATGGCTCGCCGATCTGTCAACGACACCGAGATTCGTCGATATGAAGCGTTTGCCCAGAGCATGAAAAATTCCAGCGGCAGCAATTTCTTCCGATTCCCCACTGAAGAAGAAACCGCCCAGGCTGGGTTCGGTGACGCTGGCAACGATGACAGTCTCTATGATTAAACTAATGCGGCATTCTGGGTTTCTCTTCGTATCTTGATCTGGCGATGAGGATTTCAAGGGGCTGTGAACATCTTGGGGGGTGGCATGGTAGCTAATTTGACTTTGTACTTGATGAAATGAAAATTTTCCGACTGGTCATTATTTCTTTCCAGACTTTAGATTGGCTGTTGGTTTGAATTGCTTTAATGAAATATCTGCAAAACGTCTCGATGGTCGGATAGATAAATGTTAAAAACTCAATGAACTAGTTGAAGGAAATGCTTGAAGGTCATCTCATGCTTGCTTTAAAAAATCCCACCCGATGCCCATAGTCTACACGCCGATTCTCAGTAAGAAAGGCGGAAAAAAGGAAAAAAGAGAAAAACCATGACAGTGCCCATATCTATGTTGGTGTCCTATACATATAAAAAGAAAGAGAAAAAGAAAAAGAGTCCCACCGCAGCCCTGATATCAGCGCCTTGAATCCAGTCAATAGCCAAGGATCTTCAGGAAGCAAACTACCGCATCTTGGCGCTTTTCACTTTCAGTGGAAGATCAGAGGCATCGTCATCGTCTTGGTCGTCCGGCTCAGCTTCGCCGTCTTGGTCCTCGTCCTCGGTTGGTTTGATGCAAATGTCGCCGAGAGCCTCGTTGAGGATTTTCACGCCTTTGCCGACAACATGGGGAGGTATACGCACGTCGAACTCGGCGAGGAGGATAGAGTCGTCGCCGTCAGTGTTGTCACCTTCGGTAGGTCCTGAAGTGGATGCATGTTTCCCATTCGGCTTTGCGGCGGCGGCGGCGGTGCCGTTGGTCTCTTTGTGAGTGGATTCTTTATCGCGGTCTTCTCCTTGCTCCTCGGCATCGCTGGTATGTTCCTTCTTGACGGCCGGTTCTCGCACGCCGTTGGTCGCGGCGGTCCCGTTCAGCTCCTTGCCCTCGCGTTTTCTTTTCCCGAGTACTGTTGGAGGTGTCTGGTCACTGGGCTTTGCCGTTGTTGCGAGCCGGACGACATTGTCGACGACATCTTCGAAGCGGGTGCAGCGTCCGGAGCGCAGGAGTTCGAATGCGAGATTGCGAACGCGCTCTGTCCAGCCGGAGGCGGAGAGGGAGTGAAGGAGGGAGGTATGCAGGTCTTCGAGCTTGGTAGTGGTGGAGAGGTAGGCGAGGGCGATGTCGGTTTGAGAGGTGAACTCCAGGGGTGGAGGCTGCGCTGGGTCGGAACGGGGGTCTGTGAGGGTTTTGATGCAGTATAGGCTGTCTAGTGGAGCGGCGGGGGCGGAGGTTAGCGGCTTCGAGTTGGTGGATGGCATCGTGAAGGGGTGGTTGAAACGAGGAGGTCGGGAGGCGGAGCGAAGGCCAGCTGTCGCGGGAGAATTGAGGCGGTGGTTTTTCTCAAGGGAACGACCGGAAGGTCTTTTAGTTGAGTTCGCCCCGTTCTGTAGAATGAAAATGAAGAATCGCAGGGGAGTTGAGGAACGGATAGTTGGTGTCTGGCAGTACCTTGGTAGGTCTGGAGGCAACCGACGAAAAAAGCGACGAACAGAAACGAAGAAGAAAAGAGAAAAAGAAGGATCCCTAGCGAAGAAACGATGTGTTCATTTCCACCCGGCCATTTCTTTGTCTCAAGGCTCACGGTGGCCGGAGGGGGGTATTGGCTTCAATCGGGCGTGTTATATTGAACAAGCGAGGCCGATTGATCGCATCCACCAAAACTCCCGCTGGCGAACGTCATTCTCCACCGTCAGAATCTGCCTGCTGCTGGTTGGCCGGCGGCAAAAACAGCCCTTGCGCTTAACCGCGTCTTAGCGCCGACGTCGTTTTTTTTTCTTTACGCGCCGCGAGGCAGTTTATGGGAGGGAATAGTGGCAGACGGGGAGAGTTGAATCCGGATCGGTCTCTGTGATAATTGTTTGGACTGAATTAGTTAACTAGTTATGTTTGTTTTGCTGCCTGGAAGCCCCGGAGTCGTTCTCGGGGATGCCTTGCTCGTGGTCTGAGCCCATGGCATACCAGCACTCCACGGCCATCAATTGAAAACTACTCTTTATGCCGATGTATGCATCATACATTACTGATGGTGGCCTACAGATGACTACAAACATCATCTGCAGTCTGCCAGGATGCGTTGCTGTTTGGACAGCAAACCATTGTTATTCCCAACCAGCTCTCTATAAAATCTCTTTGATCCACAATTTCTTTCTGTTTTTCTGCATGTCCGTGCTTGGTAGAGCTTCTAATTCTCCTATGGAGTATCTGCTCTTTGTGAATGGGATGCTCAAGATTTGGACAGAGCTCCATCTCAGCCCAGAAGACCACTGCAGGACAGTCCAGGCTGATGCTTTGTCAACACACATCCCACAGCGAATCACCGTCTAACGGGGGTACCGGGACTGGGAATGCATCTCCCATTCACGACGAAGCATTGCTGACAAGGATGCCATCCATGGCACGTGAACTTGTACAGTCAGCCATCATGTCAGCCGATAATATAGAGGAAATGCTGCCTGGCTCCTGGGGAGATGCAACTCAGACAACCTTCTCACTTTGACTGCTGACGCAAAGCCGTTGCTTTTCCTCTTTTATATAGCAGTTTCATTTGTTCTTCTCCAAGGGCCATCATCATGACGGTCATCCTCAAAACGCCTGCGCAAGCCTCAATATCTCAAAAGAATGAGGAGGGCCGACGCGATTTAACGCGTTTTATGAATCAACTGGGCAGTCTCCTCCCCTCAGTTTATGCAAGCGACGTGGCAAATGGTACCGAATCAACCCTAGGGACACTCGAAGTCTTCCCACTGGAGGTCCTTCATATGATACTTTCAGGGTTAGATATTCAGAGTCTATCGAGTTTCCGCGCGGCAAATCGAAGCGCCAGCACCGTTGTGAAAACCATCTCGAAATACACGTCTTTATATACTCTCGCCCCAAGTGTTTTCCAGGCTGTTGTCTCCTTTGGTGCTGGCTCTTGGATCACCTGCGAAGAACTCCGTGCCACCTTAAGCAGCGACTCCTGCGCTACGTGCGGCGGCTTCGGCAGTTTTATCTACCTCTACACTTGCAAGCGAGTCTGCCCCGAGTGCATCACCCGTGATCCAGAGTATCCTACTGCCCTGGTTGGATTTGTCAAATATCTCTGCGACCTCGACGAAAAGACTCTTGGCAAACTTCGAACTATAACGATCCCGGAAAAGAGAGCGTGCCCTGACGAATTGCACCAGCCGCTGCAACTGATAAATCGAAACGACGCTCTCAGTGCCGGACTCAGCCTTCACGGCGCGTGCTCGCTGCTGTTGAAGTTTGGCGGTGAGGAAAGTGATGATGATGGCGATGATTTGGGCTACGACGAGGACGCCTGCTCGACGGTTGTATCTTGCGCGTTTTCCGACAAAGCGGATCTTATCAGCGGCATTACCTTTTATGCAGGCGCTGTTCGTGCTCCGCAGGTCGACTTCACGACCGGCAGTGTGGAATGGGGTACTTGCTGCAGCGCCTGCCGTGATAGTGGACGCCATGGCCGTGGAAAGATGGAATGGGACGAAGAAGGTGCCGAGAAATATGCCAATTACATCAAGGAATGTAGCGGTGCCATGACGATCCTTGCCGCAATGGACTATTGCCAGCATGTGGCACGTAGTGCGGCAGTTGGTTATGTCCCCATGGTGTCTGAGGAGTAATCGCCAATTCAGAATACTACAACCGTTCGAAAGATATATCATACGGCGACACTAATTCGGCAGCAGACGTCGCCTTGATCAATTATTATTCTCGATTGTGGTAAAAGGACAATGGGCTGGTCAAAGTGAAAGCGGCATCTGCTGAGTGTTGTGCATATGCAAACGGCGTTTTCGCGAGTGGGCTGGGGCTGATGCAGGGTGCAGTGATGAACAAGCGCTTCTTTCTCCATGCTGGCGATGTTTTCTATTTATGGTTTATATGGTTGATCTGCAATATTTCCCGCCGTGGTGCTTAATGACTAGAACTGCTTTAGCTATAACTAATATCAAAGACCTCCCACGTATTGCTCCTTCCCGACAGCTCCGAGCTTGCCGGTTTCGCAGCTTCGGCTCGGGATGTCCCAATTCTGCAGCGGGTGGGCCCGCCAAACCCAATCCGGACTAGGCGCCGCGCGGATCACAGTCCCCACTGCTCGGCACCGGCGCTAAGCCCAACTGGGACGATCCGACTCACGTGAAACCAAGAATGGCGGACTCGCAATTCCCAACATCCAAAGAAGCATCAAACGCAGCGCAGCGAGACGTCACTCCGAACCTCGCCCTCCAGCCTTGTGTTATTTGCCGCCCATCCCAGGGAGGATACGCTCCGGTTTGGGGATCTCGCTCGTTTGTGCGACCATTGATGAGTGTGCGCGCCGCCTTTTTGCTGGAAAGCCCATCGCTTTGAGGTGAGACTTCCCAGTTTCAGAGCCCTTCATTCGCCAATCGTCGCTAATCGGACCAGTGACTAACCGCCAGGCCACCCTCGTCGATTGAGATCAAAGGGTCCCTATTGATAGCCGTGCCTTAATGCCCTCTCTTGTATCCTCTGCTACGATGAACGGCGAAGCTGCCTTTTAGGCTGACCGCACCCCGTGTACTGGTTGTCGAGCTTCGCACCGTTGTCGCTTGACCCCAGCGTTCGTCACCTCACACGCTTGCTTGCAGTCGAGTTCTAGTCCGATTTCAAATTCCTGAAAGTTTATCCGTTGGCAGATTTAGCACGACTTCGTTATTTCGAATCTTTTTGCGATTTTGGATACCCTTTTTTTCCGTCGGTAGCTGTTGGTTTGATGTTTTGATCGCTTGCTATTTGAAACTTGACCATTTCCCTCGCGGCTCGGCTTGGCTTCGTGGACGACAGATTCAGTTGTTGGCTCTCCAAGATTGAAAAGGACATAATCGGCATCAGGCTTGTGGTGGAAGAAACAGCACGGCAATGGCATTCCCCACCTCATATCACCATGGAGATTCGGATGCGGACGATGAATATGAAAGAAGCGTCCTGGTATCGCCTCGCCTTGTGGACGACTCCGAAGCATCCCCCACCGATTCAGAACCGCCATCGGCCCAAAATACGCCCACAACTTTCACAAATACGGCCGACGAACGCAGTTCGCCGACGTCGTCGATAATAGAATGGTCTGCGGAGGACTGTGCGAATTTTGCTACGAATCTTGGGCTGCAGCAATACCGTGACTCGTTTATTGGTGAGTACCGTACATGACGTGGTTATTGCTGGTGCAGGTCTGATCAGAGTTTCTGCGACAGAGAACGAGATTGTTGGAGAAGCATTGATTGCGTTAAGGCATGAAGAGCTAAAAGAGCTGGGGATATCCAGTGTCGGCCATCGGTTAACTCTCCTAAAAAGCGTATACGAGATAAAAGTTAAGCAAGGAGTGTCGTTTGACCCAGACCATTACGTTCCTCTATGTCAGTATCCTTCCGTGTATTGAAGGCGGGGCGATTCTAACATTCCACTAGCTGCTGAGCAAAGCAACGCAAAGGAAATCGCCACTCAGGAAGACGTTGCGCTCCTAATAAGGACCATCCGGAAACGGGACGAAAGACTCGCTGCGGCAGAATCGGAATTGCGAAAATTAGCAGATGATTACAGGAGGCTTCGAGAGGAATTGCTGCCCGTATTTAAGATGGCCAAAGACAGATCCCAGCCCCTACCGTATCAACCGACCTCATCCTATGCCGGCTCTACCCTGGTATCGGATCCGTATAACCACGAACCATCCGCAACTTCGCCTTCAATCATGACTCAACCGGAAAAGACAGGCCCTAGTCTCTCCCGGACCTTCTCGAAAAAGCTCTTCGCTGGAGGGACTACTCCGAAAACCAACTCACCTACCCATATTCCGCAATCTATACCTGAGGGACGAGCATATAGTGACACTTCGACCTTGGACCCGTCCGCTGCTGCTATGGCTGCTTCATCCCATCTAACCGCTTCCATGAACGGTGGCCAACCTTCGCCCAAAGGCATCCCATCCCCCACATCCCCCGCCAGCTTCTACCCACAACAAACTCTTGCATCTCGATCATATTCCCGGGAGACGGCGAGTATCAACCGCTCCCATGATCACCCCGAAGACCCGCAATCACAACAACGCCACGATCGCTCGACACCAGGCCACCCCAGTTCCAATAGTAATCCACCCGGCTCTCGTGCTCAAAATGACCCTGCAGGCCCCAGCGTCGAAATTTTCAAGTCTTTCCGTGTTTCTATGGAAGATCCGTGTTACAGAGTCCTACCTGCTGCGCTTAAGAAGTATAATATCCACGAAGACTGGCGACACTATGCTCTCTATATTGTCTATGGCGATCAAGAACGGTGTCTTGGCCTCGACGAAAAACCTTTGATCTTATTTAAACAGTTGGCCGGTGATGGCCAGAAGCCTATGTTTATGCTACGAAGACAAACGCCAATAAGTGATGGCACAGCAACGAATATATACCCTGGGGGTGGGATTGGCATTGCGCCGGGAAGTGCGAGCATCGACGGAGGAGGGGGAGGGGGCCGGGTGCAACCTGGAGCAATTCAGCTGCCTGGCGGTGTCTTATGATGTTTTGTCAAGTCGTTCCGTTGCCGTTTGCCCGTGTTTCTCCGGTCACATATTCCCCTTTCCGGGAGGAAGCTGTTTTTCTATCTTGGCTTTTCTGTCCTGCAAAAGGCGCTTCCTTTCGTGTTCTTATTTATAGGCAAATCTGAATATCTATCGTTTGGACGTGTAATTAACCCGGGGTTGCCTTGTAGGTGCTATATCTCAGCCCGTCAGATCTTGAATGTATTACATAAGCCATGACGGCGGGGACCGTTGATCGAATGAGAATGACATCCACAGACTTGAGCGGCAACAAGTCTTTGCGTCAAAGTAACAAAGAGTAGAAGCTCCGAGATATATGCCCTTTTTCTGCGCTCCTTCATTTCGAAAACTATTCCTGTGCATACTTGACCCGGCCCCAGCCAAAGGCGTCTTAGATATCCTGCATTCGCCCTTCGTTTAGCCCCTCCTGGATCGGCCATGCCGGGGTATACTTCGAACCAGAAGCAGCTCATAGCACAATTCGTGTCTTTTGCGAGTGTAAAAGATAGCGTTGCAGCAAAGGTATGGGATTAATCATTTCTGAGATTTAAAAGCTTAGAACGGCATTTGATCTCCCGTCCATGTCCCTTGGTGCCGCAAGGGGAGACTCCCAGTTGGCGACGCGAAGTGTCTGGCTGATGCGTGTGCTTTTGATTTTTAGTTCCTCAAGGGCAACGGATGGGATGTGGCGCGGGCTGTAGATGAGTATGTGGCTCTTTTCTCTCTCCATATATGCTGCTTTTCCACAGTTCAAATGGGCCTATTTGTATACATCCTCTCGAAATTTGCTGGGTATAATTCAAAAGGCAAACGGCAAAGATGGGTTTGGTTCTTGCAGATACCCAATTCTTCCATTCAGCTTATAACTCAGAGTGAGCAGCTGGAATGGAGAGCTTGCAAACCATTCAAGGAGCTTCTCTGAAGTTGTATTCACAGCTGAGAGTTGAAAGTGACAGTGACGGCTCTCGGATGTTCCCCTCTGCATCACGTGGAATGTCAGACTGTCCCAAAAGAGCAGGCAACGGTCACGTTATTCTTGACTTCAGGATGCAGGCTGAGATGGTGAAGAGCTACATCTCCCGGTTCACGCGCTTCTCAGCTGCATCCTTGGGCACTTTCATCCAGGGCTATCTGTGCTACAATTGTGACCACAAGCACAATGGCTTCTCAATCAAGCTCAGAGAATGTGCTGACGCCTACTTCTGAATATGATAGTTACTTTCAGCACAACCCCTCTCCGTCTTCACAGGCCGTGTCTGCTCTCAACAAGATCTTTGATGGATATCGAGGTAAAGCTACCCGTTTTCAGGCGTTCGATGTTCCGGACTAATTGAGAGATAGATTCCCCTGTGGATAACCCAGATGGCATAGGAATTGAAGGTGCTATGAAATATTTAGGAGATATAAAAGTGAATCTGGATGAAGTTGTCTGCCTGGCAATATCAGAGTTGCTACGCTCTCCGTCAATGGGTGAATTCACACGTGAGAATTTTGTCGACGGGTGGAAGGAATCGGGGTAAGTGTAGTACATCCATTCACGGTATCGGACTACCTGTCTTATATGCACTAGTTCCGACACACTCGCCAAGCAAGCACTCCACGCATCAAATCTGCGCAATCGCATCCCGACGGAGCCAGCTTTGTTTAGACGCATATATCGTTATGCATTCGTACTATGTCGGCTACCGGGCCAGCGCCATCTCACTCTAGAAATCGCTACCGAACAATGGCGTTTATTTTTCACTCCTGACAACGGCGGTATCCCATGGAACACCAACACCGTCCCGTGGTTGGATTGGTGGATCGAGTTCATCGAAAACACATGGAAGCGGCCCGTCAACAAGGATTTGTGGGAGCAGACGGAGGTGCTAATGCGAAAGACTCTGGAGGATCCGAGCTTGAAATGGTGGAGCCCAGATGGGGCATGGCCTGGTGCAGTTGACGACTTTGTGGTTTTTGCAAAAGCAAAACTGGGAACGAGTGGCGCGAATGGCGAAATGGATGTGGAATGAATATTCAAACAACTACGAGGTGGTTATAAAGAGCAGAATATCATAAGATCGACATGGGGAGGATAGTGGGCGTGGATGAGAGATTTATGTTATCAAGACCTAGCGAACATCAAACGGCGCATTTTATATCTAGGAGGATTAACTAGATAGCTGGTCAATTGAAGATTCTATGGCATTTCAGCCAACCACTACTACAGAGGATCAAAATTTCAAAGTAAATCAAACTATTTGAGTTTAGACAAGGGGGGTGCAGCCTTCACAGCTAAAATGAATTTCATATGGGAAAGGCTTTGTTCAGGGGTATTGAGGAAACATACAGAAATGAAAAGAAGAGGCCAAGCTGAAATTTAGCAAAGTCCCGAGAAATATGAAATTCGTTAGGAATAACAGGAAATTGCATGGAATATCGTGTCCTATGGAGAATAACACAAATATGCCTCTTTCAACAGTGAGGTGGGATTGGATAGTACGGTGCTCCGTGATGGCCGTAAGTAGTATGACTCTGTGCAGGATGCATGAATAGAGGAGAATCGAAGCAACCAGTCCAGAAGTGTGGATCATGAGCGATGCAGGCGACGTCCTTCCCATGGTGGGATACTAGAGACGCATTATGGCAATGAGTACAATTGTGGTTGCAAGTCGATGGCTCCTTATCATCCTTTGCTGTGGCGTTTTCTTTCGATTTGCCGCCATCCTTTTCTTTCCCCTTTTCTTTCTCTTTTTCTTTTTCTTTTTGCTCTTTTGCTTTTTGGTCTGCTTCGTGTTTGTCCAGGAGCCTGCTATGTATCTCAGGGAACGCGTCGTGGAGGGCTTCGAGCTCGTCAAGAGATAGACCGCCTATTTCCTCACAGTTCCTTTTCCCATCTTCATTTTTTTCTTTCTTCTCTTCCTTCTCAAGAGCTTTGAGAGCTTTATTCAGCAACAAATCCTCCTCCACCTTGCTGCAGTCCACATCAAACAATTCATTCACCTTCCTGAATTCCGCTAGCCGATTCTTCCACTGCTCGCTCTGCTGGAGAATACAGATATTCGTCTTCCCAGACTCGTCAACTTGCTTTGAAAGAAAATCTCGAGCCCATTTCCGTAGCGTATCTTTATCTCCTTGGTTTTCAATTGTGTTGTCGCCGTATATTTCCTCGAAGACGGCCATTGGATCATTATGTGTTTCTCCCATAGAATATAACCGCTCAAAAGCCTTGTTTCGAAGCTCAGCAAAGGACATCTGGCTTCCAAGAGCGAACATCTGGATATCGTTGACCAAATACGCAGGGTCGTCAGCGCGAAAATCACGGATTGAGGGAGGGCCTTGAGTGGCGGAAGGTGTAAAATAAGGCGTAGTAGTCTGCACCAGCTCAGGGGGGTAGTCTTGTTTGAAAAGAAAAGAATAAAAAGTACAGAATGGGCGCTTTGAAGCCACCGGGACTTTAACCGTATTTTCTTTTGAAATTCTAGGTTGAAGGGATTCGAATACGGTTAATTTTGACCTTGGAAAAGGAACCGCATAGTCTGCATAATGGAGTTCGACGTATTCTCCAGAGCCGGCGGGATATCGCGTACGGAGAACTGGAGTAAATGAGAACTTATCCGCTTTAATGGTATGGAAATAGTGAGATTTCGGGCTATTTGTCTTTGTTAACATATCTAATAGCTCGGAATGTAGACTCGAGGATACATACTATAGTTTAGGATTTGACCCATTTGCAGACTCCGGCAGTTTCATTTCCTTCAGGGTCAACTTGTGGTCTCGGCACAGCTCCCTATCCAACAAGTCGTTTCCCCCCCAAAGACAATAGCTCCAACCTTATGATAGGGCGTTCTTGCGACTTTTCCTATCGGGATGACGACGGGGTTGATGCACTCTTGGAATACATGGAAACCGCAAAAGCAATTTTGGAGGCCGGTATAGTTCCAGTATTCGGTGTATCAACGAACTGAATCCAAGACCATGGCCAAGGTGATGGCTATGACTTGTTTGATCGCTCCCTTGGACACCGCAACACACTAGGAAGTAAGCGTGTGCCATGTGATGAATGAGAAAATGGCCTAAAAGTCCGGGACGCTGCTGAACCTGGTGAGAATTTAGCTCAATGGCAATCCTTGTATCTCGAAGGCCTGGTTTATAGGTGACGCCATGAGTATCAAGCGAAAGATGCGCCCATCGAAGATATACTTGATCCTTTAGCACACCTCGGAAATAGGTGGCGTCTAATGTCTCAAAAACTTGGTACGGGATCCAACGCAAGTTAATATTATGGATCGGGCATTTAGGTAAGTCCGGCTCTGAGGCGGTATGGTTTTCAAGAGCATCGAGAGCAAGCTTTGTGGCAACGGTTTCACTGAGCCCCAAGGGTTTTGAGGGGGGCAAATTCGCAGCCAGGAGCCCTCGGTCGGCTTTCTCCTTTTTGGCATATGTGCCGCAATTGCATTTGGGGGGAGACATGATCAAAGTGTCCAAACTGGAAAAGTAACGGATGTATGGAGTCGTTTGGAAGAGGAATCGAACAAGAGACCGAGAAAGGACGGCGAGTATTATTTAAAGTCAGGATCCCGAAGACATGCTGCCTTGTATGGCATCAAATTGCTCGCCCAAACTGACATGTTTGGTATGAGCCAGGCCATAGCGCCTCAATTTAAGTTTGCCCAAAACACCGTGTTTGCTCCGGTAAGGTAGAGTCGTACAGACAAAGGAAAGAATATACGATGGCAAAATAAGCCATTGTCGGCCTCGAAGAGAGTGCGACTCGTCAAGAGTAAAATAGCTTTGCTTGTGAGAAAGCAATCAAATCATAGGCCTTCAGCAGATTCTAGCTTATTATGATATTTGCGAAAGGGTGGAGCTAGAATAGTGACTCAAGCGGGAATAACATAGGTTTGTGAAACCGCAAAGCGGGTTTGATAGGCAAGGTATCATTTAGCCGTATAAATACCATGTTGGTGCCCAACGCCAACCGGTAGCTAGCAGCACAAAGGCAGGCAAGCACAATGGACTTTTCTTGCAAAATCTGAATGAAAAGGGTACAAGTTAGAAGTTTCTGGAGTAGTAAAAACCGACAACGCCAAAAGATACGATGCAGCAAATATAGACGCCAGACTGAAGGGGTTTATGTTGTTTGGAAAAGTGTATCTTCCTATAACGTAGTTAGAAACACTGCAAATCAAAGAGGAGGCGCCAAATCTTACTTCTCTCAGGTATTCTCCAATATCTCCTTGCCTAAACGTCGTGATTCCGGTCGGGTCTAACCGACGGGCCTCGGCGGTCGAACGAGCCGTTACGCCAAATCCCTAGGAACAGGTCAGAGAATCTCGTGAATTATCAATGGTAACACAGGGCAACCTACTAAAGGAGTATCGTCCATTGACATTACCACCACGCCTTGGTGTTCGGGGCAGTCTTCGCTCCAGCGCCCAATATGCGCTTTGACAACATTCCCACCGTAAAGAAAAGGCATTTCTCCATTTGGTTTAATCCACACCTGGTATCTCGCATGAGGCGCAATAACATCTAGAGCAGTGATGTGAAGTCTGAACTTTCCCGTCTTTGTGAATTTTCCGATACAGGTGCCAACGGAGAGAAGATTTGGTCGCGCAATGGACGTTGCGAGATTGGCGATGGAGAGACGGACATAATAGACTCGCGAGCCGTGTAGGCGAAAGACATGCCTTTCGTCTTCAGAGCCATTGCCTTCCGACGACGATGGAGGAGCTATTAGATGGTTCAGGGAGCTGCCGGTGTAGTTTGCGAGTTTGGAGAAGAGGGTCTGCGTCTCTGATTCGGTGAGGGGACGCATCTCGCCTAAGATAGTCGAGTAGTATCAAGCTCGGGGCCGATTAGAGCACTGGTAAAAGAAACAAAGGAGCAAGAGGCATAGATCAATGGCGGAATGATGCTGCTGGCGGCTGTTGGAGCTTCAGCGATAATTTTCTTATCGATTTCACTAGCGCGCAGGCTTGGCATCAGGTCGCATCGAAATTTCGGCGGGAAAATCTCCAAGGGCACTCTCTACACCCAGATCGACTCACAAAACCCGCGGGAATGGCTCCAGTTCACACTGCAAAGAGGCGGCGTCTTAGCCCGACAGGAGAGGCGGCCCCTTCATCGGCAATGAAGACGTTCTACGCCAGCGCGTCGCAATGGGACCTCGAACAGGACTACGAACGACGACCAAGGAAGGGCAGCAAGAAGGATAGAGAGCGGACACGCTTGCCCATCAAAACTGCGGAGGGAAATATAGAGCACATTGAGGAACCTCAGCATTCGGAGCCTGAATCCCTTAGCCCGTTCGACTCTGACGAACAGTCCGACGATGACGCTCCCGCCCCCAAACCCGTCCAGGAACCCGTCTCGCAAGTCCCGCCAAAGCTGCAAATCATACAGGCGAAGGAAGAATTAGCAAGGATTGCGATGATCATAAATGAAGACCCGGAGGAACATATGGAGTCGTTCAAGAGACTGGCAGAAATGGTCAAATCTTCTTCATTGCCCGCCGTTAAGAAACTGGCGCTTGCTACCCAAGCTGCGGTTTACAGAGATGTTATTCCTGGCTACAAAATCCGGCCTTTGGGTGAAGCAGAACTCACGGTAAAAGTGTCGAAGGAGGTTCGAAAAGTTCGCGACTACGAGCAAGCGCTGCTTTCTGGATATCGCAATTATATTCAGGAGCTAGTAAGGCTTGCAAGATCAAAGCATGACGAGGGTCTCAAATCAGTTGCCATCAATTGTGCGTGCGGGTTATTGACTGCTGTTCCGCACTTTAATTTTCGACAGGAGCTCTTGAAGATACTTGTCTCGCTAGTCACTCGCCGTCACCTTGACGCAGACGGTATCAAAGCTCGTGAAACCATCAAGGAAATATTCTCCAACGATGAAGATGGAATTATCTCGATGGAAACAGTCAGCCTTCTGGCGAAAACAATGAAGTCTAAAAATTTCAACGTTCATCACAGTACATTGGATACCTTTTTACATCTGCGACTTCTGTCTGAATTTTCTCTCAAAGGCTCCCACGATAGAATTGATAAGGAGGAAACTGAGGGAAATACATACAAGGGGAAAAAGATCAAAGAGAAGCGCGAGTTTCGAACGAAAAAAGAACGAAAACTCCTTCGAGAACGGAAAGCTGCCGCCAAAGACCTAAAGGAGGCAGATGCCCTCGTCAAGAATGAGCAACGGGATAAGATGCAAGCGGAGACGCTGAAGTTTGTTTTCACGACGTATTTCCGAATCCTGAAGCTTCGAATTGCTTCCTTGATGGGTGCTACGCTGGAAGGCCTCGCAAAATACGCTCACTTGATCAACCAAGACTTCTTTGGCGATCTACTTGAAGTGCTTAGGGAGCTGATATCTGATTCAAGCCAAGTCAGCGGGACCGATGAGGACCTGGATGGCGACGAAGCACAAAATGATACTCAAAGTACCGCAACAAGAAACACCACTCGTGAAGTCCTCCTCTGCTTAACAACAGCATTCGCGCTCCTTGAAGGCCAAGACGCCAGCAAAGCCGCTTCAACGCTGCATCTCGACCTTAGTTTCTTCATCTCCCACCTTTATCAGACCTTGTATCCCGCCTCTATAAATCCAGATATAGAATTCAACCCCAACAAGTCCCTTCGTCTGCCGGACCCCGGGTCCGCCAACCCTGACGATGCACTCGAAAAAGATAAAAAGGTCAATTTCCAAACTCCAACAGTGCTTGCTCTGCGCTGTCTACAGGCCACCCTCACCGCCAAGGGTAGCCACGCTGCAACACCGCTACGTGTTGCCGGCTTCACAAAACGCCTCATGACCAGCGCCCTCCAATTACCAGAGAAGTCTGCTCTAGCTTTGTTGTCGTTGTTGGATCGCGTTGCGAAAATGCACGCCCGCAAAATTGCGCCGTTGTGGAACACGGAGGAGCGAAAAGGAGACGGGGTGTTTAATGCAACCGCAACGGATGTCGAAGGGAGTAATGTTTTCGCAAGCACAATTTGGGAGGGGGAGCTACTGAGATTACATTATTGTCCGCAGGTTCGAGATGCAGCTCGTGGCATCGAGAAGACAATAATGAACGTCAAATAAGACATTTCAAAGTTACAATAATAATAACAATGATACTACTTATTATTGCGATTGAAGTACTTGGAAAATCAGAGCTTAGCTATCACGAAACATCATGAACTAGGGATTTATTTTGAACAGTACTCTATACATGATCAAATACCAGTGATTCGTTTTGCAAAGTAAAGAAGACAATATCACAGAAGAATCTTCAAGCTGACTATTTCGCACGGTTTCAGTAGTAACAAATCTTCACATAGCGTAGAACATCGACATCAAAACACAAGGGATTCGATGCACGTAACTTCCTCACCTCAGGCACCTCATAAGCAAAAGAAGCGGCCACAAAACATAATCAAGTCCACCGTTGGGATCACAAGGTTTTTAAAAAGAAAGGAAAAGAAAAGAAAAGAAAAGACAAAGGGTTTCCGAAACATTAATATCTTAATCCTGGTTCGTCTCATTCCCATAGGCGTGATGGTACCAGTTTCTTGTGCCACCCCAAGTGCCACCGCTTGGACCCTGATGGGAACCGTTATCTGCGAGCCCATCATGACGAGAATTACCGTACGCCACACGATCATGACCTGCTCCTGGGCGGAATTGGGGGACCAAGGGATTGTAATGAGTTGGCTGGCTTCGACTTGAGTTACTTCGACGGTGCTGGGCACCATTATTGGCGGCCACAGGCCCGGTTTCAAAGTCGTGAGGTTGCGTCACAGGCTGTTGCCGTTGAATCTGTCTAAAGGTAACAACCGGGGAATGTGGGACCGTATGACCATCTCCATGCGCCTCGCCGAAGACAATAGGATGACTGGGGTTTCTGCGTGTAGTGGTGGTGCCGTTGACGATATCACCGCTGGCGCTCTTGGAAATAGGAGCTGGAACAGGGGTATTTTCAACAGAGGAAGCATTGGAGAAAAGAGCGGGAGGAATAGCGACTCGTGCATCATGGGCCTGACGATTCTGACGGATCGTGGCCTCGCTGGCCTGTCGTATATGGCCTTCATTGGGACTTCCACTATCGTTATGGGCATTGTTATATCTAGATCCTTCAACGGATGGTGGTGTGCGAAACGCAGTGGTGGGAGTCGGGACCGACGCCTGTGGTCCGTTGGCGCGTGGTTGGCTGTGAAGGAGGTTGACATGCGCTGTCAACTGCTGCAACTGAAACGTTTGAGCCTGGAGCTCTGTCCGCACTAGACCAAGTTCGTTTGACAGCCCTCCAATTTGACTGAACAGTCGGTCCAGTGTCTCGATTGGCACCGCCATATGGGCAATCCGACTTGTCCTCACTTCCGAAGGATGGTACATCGGCCCAAAGTCTGGATGGAGCGGAGTCGACACTGGATCGTAGATTGACGGAGAATATGGGGCGGAGAGCCGGTGCCAGTTGCCTGACAAACGATCTTGTTCCCAATTTCCAGTGACTGACATGCCTCCTGGAGTTGCAATGCCCATGACTCCATGCATGCTTGGGATGCCGCGGTGCTCAACAAGCTCAGCACTCCGCTGCGTGGCATATGTCCCCAGTCGTGTTGGGCTCAAGGCGGGGCCTCCCATAATGATACCCTGTATCTCGTCTTTGGGCTCCTCCCCTGATCCTGGGATGCCGTTGCTGGCTTGATTGCTGTTGTAGTGGTTCGGTCCTAGCGGTCTGTTAGAGATTCCCGCGTTGCCAGAGGTCATATTTTGTAGAGGCGTTGGCGGAACGGAGAAGGCCTTGTAGACTTTGCGACGGCTGACGGGAGATGATGGAGAAGAACGAGACACGTCGAGAGGAAGCTTGTTTGTTGACAGAGGCACCGTAAAGTTAGGAGATGCTGATGCTTTAGGCTTAGGGAAGAAAAGCTGAACTTTGCAACCTGGCTGCCGAGCACTCTCGGCGTCTGGCGGGGAGTTGATTGTGCTGGCTGGGTTCTCTTCTTCTTTCAAATCAGCACTTTTCAAAACATCAGTGAACCCGGGCTGGTTCTCTGAAGCAATGTTCAGTGTGGCTTTAAGCTGTGCTATAAAAGAGTTGTCACTCTTTTGAACAACTGATGCTTCAGAAGGTGGCCCAGTTGGAGTTTGCGAAGAAGGTCCTTGTTTGTTGGCATTACACTTTCCCACTGCATACTCTGTGAGCTGGGCTGCTGATGAAGCCTGTTGTGAGGTGGATGTTTTGTCGTGTATGTGTTCCTTCAATTGGCTTTCGGCCGCAGGTTCTAATGATGTCCGGGGACTAGTAAGCGCTTCTGTTTCGAGCTGAGGAGGTTTAGGGCTGCATCTTGCCGGTTGACCTTCTGGCCCTGGAGGTAAGGGCGCCTGTGAGTGTTTCGATCGACGACGAAAAGCCCTCTTCGACTGGCTAGCAGCACGGATTCTGGATTCGCTTAGTGTGGGGTACGCAATAGGGTCTTCGAATTGATATCCTTGGGACACGCGTTTCTTAGAGAGGAGCAGTGGACCTAGCGGAGATATTAGCAACTGGAACTATGCATTTTCAGGATAGAAGATGGAAGATCTTTTCACCTGGCTCGGCTATGGCGCCACGGGCGACATCCGCATAAGGTAGGCTTGTTGGGAGTTTGTCAATTACCGGGGAGTTCTCAGCACTCGCACTCGGCACGTTTTCTCTGCCTTGTGGCTGCAAACTTTGTGTCTTTGGTTGCACAACGGGCAAGTGGACAATGACTGGTCCCTGGCAAGAAATTTCTGGGGGCTGGGAGACTGTCTGGGAACACTGGCTTTCCATGACGGAATCTCACAGTAAAGCAATGTTCAGGAGGATATGCAAGACAATAATGGCTTCTTCCAGGCTTCCAAGAGATACCCAAGTGGTGGTATTCAAACGCGTTTTTTGCGCAAAAACTTGGATTGTTTGGGAGAATGTGTTCAGGGTGAGAAAAAGAAGCCAAAGAATAAGTGCTAAAAGGTAAACCAAAATGTTGTCATTCACGTTGATATGGCGCTAACGGAATTAGGAAATGTGCAGCCATGAATGATATACATTCTGGCCAGTCCAGGGGCTCAGCGACTGGCTATTTAAAAGGCAAATTTCTGCCGGCCTCAGGAGTGGGCTCTAGGAGCAGAAGCCCGTCGGCATACCTAACTGGTCTTGAGCTCTCTAGCCTCAATTTTTCTACTTTACGATGGTTATATCGTTGAGAAGCCGTTGGCCTCTTAAGGCATTATCGGCAGAGGGAATTGAAAAAATGGCTAGAGAATATAGAACGAAAGCGTTCTATAATGTCAACCCATGAAAAGGGAGAGGAGAAAGTCATTTTTCATTTTAACGAGCAAAGAGTGTAGGTATGTACCATTTTTTCGACGGCGGACCACATATCGGACTAGAAGGACATCGCGCTGAGGAATATCAACAGGTTACATGAATCGGGGATATCTCGACACAAAAGAGAATAAAATACACATTGAAACGGAAAAACTGAAACACTCGCATGGATACTCAAACAAGATCAGGAGATTCGTTGATCATTATCTGCACCGAAATAAACTTTCTACTGGAGCGAGTGGCGGTTGCGGAAGAATCCAGAGCCTTGGAGAAGAAACGCACGATCTGAGCAAGACGGGACCGCAAAGGAGGAATCCAAACTATGAACAGTGATAAGCTTGACTACTCATTGCGACGGTCTGTCGCGGCGACGGAATGCGCTGAACAGCCCTCCCAAAAAGTTCTGGAAAACAGCACGCCACAATGCCCGGAAGAAGCTGTCCCGTTTATGTGTGGTGAGAGACGTGACAGATTGGTTTGCTGTTGGAGGGCGCTGTGGTTCATTGGCATTCTTGGTAACCGACTTGCTTCCATCGGCAGCCGAAACGGGCTCTGTGGCTGCGTTGGAGATAGTGCCATCGGCGGTGGGCTGTGCCTGCTTCACGTCCAAATCGGAAGTCGATGGGGGACCGTTTTGGGTTTTCTTGGAAACGACTGCGGGTGGGGATGAAGGTTCCCCAGTCGAGTTGGTGACGGTACTTCTGGAGGCGGCTGGGGTCGAAGCAGATTCCACGAACGCAGGCTGTTGTGAGTTGTCGGTCCCAGCTTTCAGGGCGTCCTCTGGCTTGTCAAGGGCGTTGGGCAGAACCACTGGCACGGCAGGTACTTGGGCGGAATTATCGCTCGCAGGTCCTTTGACGACGGAACTTGATACGACTTTGTCCTTAACAATCTCGTTTTCCTTCACAGGCAAGGTGGGATCAGTGTTCGCAATTGCGGAGTTGGACTTAGTTTCTGGCGTCAATTCGAGCGGCTGCTGGGTAGGGAGAGGGGCTTCGCTGACAACCTTGTTTTGCACGGGGGTTTCAGTGTTGGCCGCGTTGAGTTCAGTAGCCTGCAAGGCGGGTTCAGCGGTCAACGGGAGAGGCTTGAGCTCTGGAACCTCGGCCACAGATTCTGTTGATGCGACAAGAGTGTTGCCATTTGCCTTCTCGACGTCCTCTATGGTTTTGGAGTCTTCTTGAGACTTCGCCAATTGTGCAATGGGCTCAACTTCCGGCTCCTTGTTTGCGGAGGGCTCGACAACTTCAGTTTGTAATTTTTGGATTGAGCTGTGAGTGTGGTCGGGTAATGGGTCAGACTTGTTGTCGACGAACGTTTCCGTCGGCTTAGAGTCTAGCAGCGTTGCCTCAATCACTTCAATACCTTTCTGTGGTGTCGTCTCATGACCGATAACGGCAGATTTGGAAGTGGCATCGGGTTCGGTATTGAGCTGCGCTGCTGGGAGTTCATCCTTGGAAATATCGCCGTTCAAGGAAGAGGTATCTACCTTGGGCACGGAAGTGACAACATCGTTGGCGCCGTCAGAATTCTCACTGGGAGGTTCGGTGTCTACGTCGATTGGTGTTTCAGATGTTGTATTATCATCAACTACTGGAGCACCACCCTTTGTCTTTGCATCAATAGGCGCTGCATCCTCGACACTCGCAGTAGCATCCTCGGCCTTGGCGCCTGTTTCCAGGTCCTCTTTGTTAATAGCAGGCGTCGCAGTTTCCGGGTTTTCCGTAGGATCAACTGGAGCTGTTCAGCAGAGGATCCAGTGACTTCAAGCTGGAGTTCGTCCGTCCGACTCTGGTGTTTCCCTTGATTATGGACGCTGTTTCCGTAGGTGCGAAGAGTCTCTGATTCCTCCACATCGTCCCTGGACGGCCCAATTCTTTGACGGTTACTACTTCGCGTTCTAGAGATTGCGACGTTTTTGAATCAAGGTCAACTGCGGGCTTTGGGTCTACCCTCAACAACTGGAACTTCTGGCACAGCTTGGCTGTCGAGCTCTGAATTCGGCCTCTGGTCGGCTTCTACGGCCTCATTTTCACCATTCACAATAATATTAGCCTCTGGCTCTTCCTGTGTCTGTCCTTCAGCAGCGGGCTCAGCTACTGCTGGGACTTCGGAAGGAGCCTCCTTGTCTGAATCAACAACAGTAGTGTCACTGGGCCCGGAGCTTTGAGCAATCCCCGGCAGCTGGCTGAGATCTTCTTCACAAGTTGCGAGAGGGGAAGCGGGCGCATCCTCAGCGACATCTTTCTGTGGTTCGGCTGGCTCAGCGGGAATCTCCACGGGTTGCTGGCTTGGCGGGGACGACAAAATATCAAGGTTTTCTTCAGCTGTCTCTACCGATCCGTTTGCATGAGTCACATCATCCTCGTTCGGCAGGTCGGCTGTGCCCTTGATGTCAACAAAAACATCCGGAGTCGTTTCACCGTTGTCGACTTCACCAGAAGTCATAGTTTCCTGATCCAGCTTAGTGACGGGAGATTGTTCGGCCGATTCCGACACGACCTCGGCTGTCAGATCAGTGGTGATGTCATCCTTGGCGTTGGTTTCATCTGTTTGTTGTTGCTCCTCGACCTGTTTGGCTTCTTCTTTCCCAACCTCTTCAACGGCCACGTCTTTGGACATGGCCTCAGCTACGACACTTTCTTCTGGAAGAGGTTCAGCTGTTGCAGCAACTCCCATTGGGGTTTTATCGGTTTCGACGGGTTCAGGGCCTGTTTCCAGGGGAGTTGTTCCTGCGGTTGAGGCAATGGCGTCGTCGGAGGGCTCCTCGTCGGGGCACACTGGCTCTTTTGGAGGAATATCATCCTTCTGGCTTTGACTACTATCTTCTCCCGTCATTTCGGTAACTTGATGATTGGCCGGTTCAATCTCTGCGACTCCCGCAGGTTGTTCGGTTGGTGGAGCCTGGGTATCCTCCACTACTTGAGCCAAATCTTGCTTTTCCGGGACGCTCTCGTCTTGGTGCTGTCCTTGTTCAGCTTGAACTACTACAGGTTCACTCGCTTTCACCGGTTCTTCAACCTCAGCGTCCAGTGCGGGGGTATCAGTTTCAACCAAGGTATCGGATGGTCCTTCAGGTATATCCTTAGCCTCCCCACCATCATATATAGCAGGCTTCGAGCCCTCGTCCTCAATTTCTGGAGGTTGCTCAACTTCAGAAAGGGCTTCGATCGGATCAGCGGTTGTTCCCACGTCCGTCGATTTTACTTCCATAGCTTGGTCAGTCACTTCGGCATCAGCATTGCTTTCACTGGCCTTTGGTGCGTCAGAAGTAGGCTCTGAGGCGGGGTCTTCCGCCTGTTCAACGATGGCTGCATCCAGAGGGGTTTGCTCCGCTTCCCGGGTCGTGGTAATGTCGTCCTTTGTGGTCTCATTAACATCCTCGCTTTCGGGAGACGGCCCAAGTGCCTCCTTTTTACCATTTCCGTCATCCAATGGATCGGGTTCAGTTGCCTCATCGGAGGCTACAGTGTCATCCAAAGCAGTTGGTTGCTCATCGCCTTCGGCTGGTTTCGGGGTTGGCACTTCTATGGGCATTCCCGGTTTGAATTCAGCGGCCGCTGGATTCAATGCGCTTGTCCCATTTGACAAAGTTCCGGATTTCGCCTCTGTATTTCCTACAAGCCCTGCAGGCTCTGATGGAGTTTCTGGAATAGGTTCAACTGGCACTGTGACCTCTTCGGGAATATTCTCTGGCTCCGCTGGTTTCTCCGTCTGTTCGGAAGGTTCAGACAGCTCAGATGCCTCGGATTCTGTCTCCTGTACAGGTTTCTCTGGCACCTCTAATTGTTCAGGCGCCTCCGCTGGAGCATCAGTTACTGCTTCCGAGATGGTGGAGGTTTGGTCAAGTCTGGACTGTTCTGGTATGGCCTCAACTTCAGCATTCGGGAGAGTTGGCTCCGTTTCCTCAGAAGCCACTGGCGCTTCCGGTGTTTCTGGTGTGGGCTCGGGTTTAAGCTCCGGTGGCTCAACGTCTGGCGCAGCAGGAGTTAACTCTTCGGGAGGAGGATTTGATTCTGCATTTTCCGGCTTGGCTGCGTCATCTTCGACGGTAAGCTCGGGCGAATCAAGTTCCGTTTGCTGGGGTGCTTCTGCGAGGTTCGTAAGTTTCAAGTCAGATGAGTTGATGGTGCAAGGTTTACCTTTGGGTGCAGGTACGCTTGGGTCAGCAGGGTGCTCAACGGCTGGTTCTAGCTCTTCGTTTGAGGTTTTAAGATCTTTGTCGGCATCTTCAGCTTTCGCCGGTGCTCCTTCAGCCGTTTGGGATGTAGCGTCGGCGATATCTGCCTTGGGTTCGGGTTCCTCCTCTTGGACAACAGGTTCGTCATTTGTACCGCTACCCTTGTCAGAAGTTTCCTCCGTTGTCTCATGAGATATTCCCGTCGCATCTTCCGGCTTAGAATCCTCAGCTTCTGGGGCTTCTTTCTCTGCGTGTGATGGCTTTTCAACCAGCAATATATTGTTCACATTGCCATCTTTATCAGTGCCTTTATCACTGCAAGGTTAATACGGGTCAGAGTCTATTGTGTGTATGGCGAACCACTTACTTGTGGGCATCTCTGTATTACAGAACGAAATATCGTCTGTGCCGACCCGGAACCGATATTCGTATTTACCCTCCGCTAGCTCGAAAGTCTTGGAAAATTCATATGCTTCTGATGGAGCACTGGCAGCCCCTTCTGTGGATGGGACGGGTTTCGCCTCGAGCTCGATTGGCTCCCATGCGGGGACAGTGAAGGAGGCAAGGAGGAAGATGGCAGGAGTGGAGGTTGGACGCTGGGTTGCAACTCTAACCGATTGCTTTGAAGCTTCAGTCATGACGGATATCTTCGTGGGCTCGTAAGTGTCGTGGTGCAAAACAGGGAGGATTCGAGGGTTGTGTCGCGCGCAGCAAGGGCTCGAGAGGCAGGGTTTTGGAGCTTGAATGTTACACAACCGCTTGCAGCACGATGGGAATATGGGACGATGCAAGGGAAACAAACAAAGCACCTAGGAAAACAGAAAGAAAAACGCCTCCCAGGTTGCAGACAGTGCAAAGGAACGAGCTTTTTGTTCTGACGCGTGTGGTGAGGATGAGGGGAAAGGGTCTCTTGAGGGAACAGAAGTTGCAGCGAGCAGATGAGGGGGAGGAAGGGAATTGAGGATGAGCCAATGCAGAGAGAGCTTGGATGCAGGATTCCGGCACAAGACCACACAAGCTCCCAGCAAAAAAAAAGCAACAAGCAAGGGAAAAGGTGAAAATTGACAGTGTGTGGATTCACAGGAAACAAATCCACCAGCCAGCGTTGCGATCCGATGGAGGAGGATTCTGGCGCTGTTCCCAAAGGCGTTAGCGCCGGTGATTGTTGTCACAGAGACGGACTCTATGGGGCTTGGCATGCTGGATGGCTTGATATTGATGCTCCCTTGTCACGCTAGGCTGTCAACGGTGTTTCGCCGGACGGCGGACGGTGCTCGAGGTGCTGTGCCGGTGGCAGCTGGCTGAGCAGTGAGGGCGACGGATTACGGTTGAGCACTTGCTGTGTAGCAGGTATCTGTCTGGCAGGACGTCCATCTACAATACAGACAGGCAAAACTATTGCTATATTCTCGAGAGCTGCTGTCCAATGATTTGAAATTGTCTATCTATTTGAAAACCGCCACTCATACGGCAGGAAATCGGTCTTTTGCACATCCATGTGGAGAAGCATGCGAGATGACCGAATCCAACGGGGAGCAAGGGCGGTGAGCAGTTTAGAAGAGTGCAACAACACCAAGAAGCTCTCTATTCGTCGAATCTCCCCAAAGTCTCTGCCCGGATATCCATAACTATTCTACAAATTGTTTCTCTGGAATAAACCACGGCTCGAAGATTGCTGCTGCACAAAACATGTGTTTCTGCTTTTCCATCCGGCCGCGGCAGAATTCTGAACTCTCTTTTCGGTTAGCTCACATGACACCCGGAAACTTAATTAGCTTAGCCGCCAGCCAATCGGGAGCGGTGCCAAGAGATGGTCTCCCTTATGTCAGCGATTATATAATCCCCTCAAAGCGGCGGCGTATTTGATCCAGTTCGTGCTCGAGATCATTCAAGAGACATTAATTCATACATCATAAATGGCAGAAGAGCTAAGGATACATGCAAGAAGACAGATATCTAGAACCCGTATCACGCCCTTGGTCTGAACTCCCTATCAACCCCCCCTTCCCTTTCGACAAAAAGATCTAGAACCGAATGAAAAAGCTCTCCTAATTAGTCCCAATCCGTTTCTTCAAAAGATCTCCAAATCCTCAAACTCCACAACCAGCCCGTTCGCCGCGCCTCCGCTTCCTCTCCCATCATCCGTCCTGCCCGTAAACCTCCCTCCATTTCGTGCCGCCCACATCGTGTTCTCCATCGACAGGTTCGCCGGCCGACTCGCATACACCCCGACATGCACACTCTTGTCCTCCACTCCCCAGAAGAACCAGGTCACCTCCCGCAGCTTCCGCCATGAATTCCCAATCGCGCCGGGAGTGCGCGCCGCGTGCTCCGTCATCAGGCCCGGTATTTGGTACCATACCCACAGCGAGTGCCCGATGCGCTCGAGCTTGATGCGCAGCGATGTGATGGACGTGGGGACGTTGGGAGGGGCGAGAGGCGACAGGCACCAGTCGGCGCCGTCGGCAGTGGCGCTGACGGAGGAGGCGTTGACGGTGCCGGCGGAGAATTCGAGGCCGGCTTTGACCCATTTGTTGCGGCCGGTGGGGAGGCTGGGGTAGGGTGGTGGTGGCTGGGTTGGGTTCTGAGTCTGTGTTTGGGGTGGCTGCTGGGCGGATGATGTGGACTGGTGAGGACGTTGTTGTTGTTGTTGCTGTCTTGGAACGGGGCCAGCGAATATGACTAGTCCGCCCTGGTCCCATTCCATCTCCCAGTCGGCCGTCACCGTGACCTCTGCGATGACAAAGGGCTGTCGTAAGGAGGTAAATAGTATGGGGGCGGTTGTGGTTTCACGGTCTGGCGGCTTGCGCCATATGTCGGTGTTGGGCGCCGCGGAGAGCGAGAAATAGTCCATGCATTCTGGAAGGGTGAAATCCGGCGGTAGATTAAGTGCCGTGAAGCACGATCTGGCAGGGGGCATGTCCAACTTGCAACGGACCCTTTTTGCTAGGCCGTTGCGTTTGTTCGTGAACCCGAATGACTCGGCCCGTTCTCTAGGTAATTAGATATTCTCAATCGCAAGCGGAGGCATACGCATCAAGCAGTCTGGTTCTCAATCCCGGAATTGACACCGCTGCGACGAAAACTCGCGAACAAAGCTTCAGGGACACTGTCAATGTAGAATGAAGAACATTGGCGAGAATCCGGAATGAAAAAAAGGAGGGAGGAATTGAAAAGAGAGATGACCCCCAGTGGCTGGCAGCTGGGAGATAGATTGTCAGCTCCAACAGGCCGCGTGACACGCTTCGGCAGTCCTTGGGAGCTGTCTCGCTTGGCGAGGCTGAATTGGAGACTGGATGTCGCCCCAAAGACCGGAGACGGCGAGAGAGAGAGAGAGAGGGGGAGAGTCTAGGATGATGAACGAAGGACCAGAAGCTAAATAAAATATCGCTCAAGACTGAATATGTACGGAGGATTTCCAAAAGTAAAATCGCAACGGCCGAAAGAAGAAACGCAAGCGAAAGCACACGTCTAAAAAGGGGAAAGAAAAGGAAAAAATAAAAAAAAAAAGAAAGACGGCCGAAGACATGCATGCATATCTCTCAAGCATGCATGATTTTCGAACAAGACGCCGAGACAGCAGCGTGCGAGCCACTCCCACCAGCAGCTTTGCGGTGGTGGCTGCACGAGGGCCATCCCCGGCGTCGACGCCCAGTGAAGGATCGCCTTCCAGACCACGGGCCCGGAGCACAGCCAGCGAGCGACCAAAGGGACCGAGGGCAAGAGGACGAAATGTTTCACCAAGCTTGAAGACACGGCGTCGTCGTTGGTTGTGGGTGGATTGCGGCAAGATACGAGGGCCAGCCGGAGCGATGCGAACCCAGCAGTTGGAAGTTTTGAAGCGATCGATAGACTGATCCTGGATGGGGGGCCCGGTCTCCCGGGAGCGACAACGATAGCATGCATCGTCAGGAGCAGCCGGATCCTGACCTAGATTGCATGGAGGCGAAGACGCGCGGGGAAGATCGATTTGACACGGCGTGTCGATGACGATGTCTTGCAGCAACCAGAGACCTGGAGGAAGAAGCCATTGGCGAGCACTGCTCGAGTGGACTTGATCGATGCGAGATCTGGTGGAGGCGGCGACAATCCTGGACCGACTGTGCCTGGCGCAGCTGAGACGAAGAGGCGAAAAGGAACCGAGAAACCCGCCAGGGCTGTCATCTCTGGCGATCCACGACAACGAGCTTTGGCATAACATGATAGTCTATGTCTTGGTCGCCACAGCCGTGCTTCATTTTCTTCATGGACTACTCGCTCAAAGAGACCGTTCGCCACAGCATTGTGCAATGAGGACATCTATGATACTGTGCTCGGAAGAAAGCTCTACAGTTGTGCACTCCACATGGATTGCTGCGACATGATGCATTGACCAAGTCGGGATGTATGTGCGTTCCTTGCTGAAGATGCTCGTTCTGCTATTAACCAGGGTGCTCAATGCCATTCGTATAGATACCCTTCGAAGTCCAAATCCCAATCCATCTGCGGAATACTACCGGCATCTTTCCCGGCGCTCAGACCCAACTCTTTGATCGCAGCTTGGTTAAATTGTAAATTGCAATTGAACCTTTGCCGTTCCAAGGCATGCCCCTACATCGACCTGTTCGCGGCCAGTTTTGAACAACACCCTGCTCTGTCTCAATGATCCCCTTGGAGCGCATTCAGACATGCATGCAGATCAAACCCCCTTGAGACCCCTACAGCGGATTTTGGGGGGGTTTTATCTTTATTGACGGCATTCTACGCATGGGCCCTGAGGTCTTTATGCGTTTTTCTGCTTCCATCCCGCTCTTGCAGACTGAAGAGGCATATCACTGGCAACCAAAGATTGTGTGTTTCCGACGCTTGTTCCATATTCTGTGGAATAACATGGCGGTTGCATCTTCCGACCATTGCTGATGCTGGAGTCGACCCTGTTGGTGTCACGTCATTCGGGCCATCAAACGAGAATGCTGTACCTTCTTTTCAAACAAAACACATCTGACGATCACTAGAGGCAGAACACACATATGACATAAAAAACCGGATGGTTGCTTCGCTTGCACATGTCCACCCTTTACAGGGTATGCTGGAGCGTTATCCATCTACATTCGAGATTCTGGTACCCAGAGGAGTGAGAAAGAAACTCGTGATATTTGAGGTCTTTTTTCCGCGGCAACGGCACTTGACAGCTTTGCTGAAGGCCAACAGAGATATGGTCAGCTTTTCCATTGCGTGTTCAACAACTAGGGGTGTTACGTTTCTCAGCGCACGCATATAATGCATTCTTGAAACGGCCGTTGAGGCCTCTTTATTCGTATTTATCTTTCAGCGTCACCCGATTCCTAAATTTTTCGTAGCTCAGATGGAGCTTTTCGAAGCCCACAGTATGGTTAATGTACACACGGCACTTTGACCTCCTAGGACGTACCAATTCAAAAATCGAGCCCAGATCTCAATGCAAGATGCGGCATCCAAATCAAGTTGATCCTCGGGAAGGCCAGACGACGAGATGATTCCCACCCGTTGTAAATAGTGATGTGCTGGGTTGGTGCCAGCAATGGAAACTAGTCCTGCATGATGCCGCTGCTCCTGCACATGGAGTCCGCAAGCCGGGTGAAAGCAGTATAAGATTCGGCCTCAGCTTGCTCCAAGTGGACAAATACCTTTCGGGCATTAGCGCTATCGGAGTTCAGGTTAAGCAAGAGATAGTGAACCTGCCCGACATTGCCGTTTGCTTGCCTAGTCGCCTCTGGACGAATCTGCTTCAGACCTCCTGCACCCACCCGTTGTGCGTTCAGGTAATCAATCATTCCCAATTTAACAGAGGCCAAGGACGCTGTACTCCATCACAACGCAGTTTACGGTGTGTCGCTTGCCACCAACAGCGCCACAACCTCGTAGTCTAGCGGCGATCTTTGAATACTCGTGCTCTCCCTGTCGCAAGTTGACGTGGTACCTCCGTGTCTGCATGATAGAGAAGCTCCCTTCTGGTGAACTGCACATGCCTAGACTTGGACATCCATGAACAGCATTGTTCGCCGCTGCCACGTATGCGGATGCATGGAGTACAAGTGATCCTCGGAAAATCTTCACCAGTACTATGATTCTAGGCCATAACCCTCCACGATCGTCCCGGCTTCCGTCCCCTGCACGACAAAAATCTTCACGCCCTCCAGAATTGAGGGTGAGTAGGACGACAGACCAGGATTCTGGTATCCAGTCCACATGCATCTCTTTCTTGTGTAGCGCTCTAGCCAACGTCCAACACTTTTATTTGCCCAAATATGTAACCCATGCTCCATGAAGGACGGCAAGTACGGCAAATCTTGTCGAAATGATAGGTCCATAAATAACCGGATCAGGCTGAGGAGAAATGCCTTCGGTAAAGTTTGCAGTCACACATCGTCATGCACTGTTAGAGACTGCAGTGGAAATGATTCGCCATCCTGCTCATGGTGCCGATGGATCGTCCAAATCATAGGAAAACCCCGCAAGGTGCTCAAAATATGCAAAAGCAGGATAACTTTGAGCAGCCCCAGTCTTAAGAGGGCCTGATATTAGCTGAGTTCCAAGTGTGGGCGCCCGGAACTTGTAGAGGCCAGGCACATGGACGGCGCTCAAGAAAGCTAACTGGCTGCATTGTTCAGAAGCAGTCAACATGAGCAAGCACTTTGAAAGCACCATTTTTAAGCTTTTAGGAATGCTGGCCGCATTTCTCTCTTTCAGGATATACATGTACAGCCCATGGCCCGCGGAAGTATTCCAGGGAACATCGTCCATCATTTTGAACAGCATTTTGAAATGTCAATGGCTATCCATGGCCTCCGAGAAATGACAAGTTTTCAAGCCCGCTAGAAATGCAATTTCCGCGCATCCGGTTTAGAAAGCTCAAACCAGTTCTGGCAGACTGGAGGAGAAAAAGAAAACCAAGCCGGGTTTGCAGTGGCACAATCCTCGAGACCCATACCGAGTCGACTGTGCAGCTTTCTCCTCTATGGGAAATATATTAGCCCACGGTGGTCGCCCCAGAGTCAACTCAGTTGGACGACGGGCCATGCTTTGTGAAAGAATACGAAGCGCTTCCTAACTGGATCATTCGGGGACGCGACGACTGCTCGTGGAGTTCCCTTCTGTCTTCGTCAATGGTAGCCACTATCCAGGTTCGTACGTACATTCAAAGGTGTAAACCGGTGAAATATGATGCTCTGCGTGATGTTGCCTCTCTCGCACACTTTGGAGTCGCAGCTTTGGTGGCGAGAAAATGCAGATCCAGCCAATCAGCAACAACATCAACGTCCCCCTGGACATCAGTCCGCGAAATCGAACAACAGCTATTCTCCAACAGAAAAACGTCAGCATCAATCGAGGGAGAATACTTGTGGAGACGGCGAAATCTGTTTGCCTCATACACATTTCACAGCTCGGTCTTCCCTAGTTCCTAGTCATCTCGCCTTCTTCAGCCCTTCCACTACTCCTACCTGAGCGGCTGAGTTAACAAGTCCTCCTACTTACCATAAAGCTCCAAGATGGTCTGTTCAAAATGCCAAAAAAAGCTACAAAAGACAGAACTAGCCACACCAGCAGTGAAGCGTAAGAACGATATGTTCTATGGCTCCACGTTATCCACGCTCGGCGGAGGTGGCGGAGGTGGCGATAGCAAGAAGCCCCTGGGGACTTCAGGATATGCCGGAGTGTCGAAGGTGCGTATCCCGGAACAACTTTTTGATCGCAATTGCTTGAGATATACGGAGGATGCAAAGGCGGCTAATGACTCCTTTGTAGAATAAGCTCCTGAGCAGCAAAGCCAAAAACCCATATGCTGCGTATTCCAGCTCATGCGAGGCTTGCAAGACCAAGGTCGAAGCAGGCAGGAAATACTGCCACCGATGTGCCCACTCAAAGAATGGTATGCTCTCAATCCCACCGTACCTTGTCATACCCAATCTCTGCTCGCGACTAATATATCATGACAGTGTGCGCAATGTGTGGGAAGAGTCCCACCAAAAGTACACAGAAGCAGCCTGTAATCCAGGGCCAGAAATTCACGGCAAAGTGACACACATCTCTCCATGAAGAATTGCCAGTATCTGTCCTATCTTTGCTCTGGGCGTTATGACGATGGCGTTTGGACATGCTATTGAGGAAAGCACTTTCGATTAAAATGAACGACCGCTAGAAATGGGAAGTATATATGCTCACAAAATCTTTACCTTTACAAAATCTAATCATACAAGGCTGTGTAAACAAAATTGGAGAATAGTAGCGCCCTTCAAAGGAAGATGCGGTATTGCTTCTCAAACGCCTTTTTTTCTCCTCCCGTATCCCATACCTTGAAACAGTTGCCAGGTGTACGGAGGCTGCTCGTTATCTCTCAGCGAGCATATTCTTGACAGCACTCCAATATTGCGCATTCACGTGCTGTTGGATTTCTTCCTTTGCCAACCACTTGAATTCCGTGATCCCTTGCGTGTTCGCGGCCAAATCTGCTTGGCCAGCCAGAATGCGGCCTTTCATGAAAAATGTCTTTTCGCCCAGGAGTTGTACGCCGGTCTCAGGGGTTTGCTTTGGCTTGCGATTGTTGTATACATAATGGCCAGCAGGGTGGTAGCCGACCATCCACATGTTCATGTTTGGACCTGCGGTTTGGAAAGCGCCTCGTTCGACCGCCTAGAACGTAATCTGTTAGCCAAATGCCTGTGAAGCGTTGCTTTCTCGGAGTCTAAGTTCCTTACCATTCGTAAACTCTCTTTTGCTGCCTGATCCACAACCGTACTGGGAAATGACCAGTAGCCGTCCTTTGATTTAACCAGCAAATAAATTGTTCTTTGCAACAAACGATCCAGACTGGTTTGATCGTTTTTTTGATCCGCCTCCGTAACTCTCAGTAATGGTCTAGGAATCGTTTCCTTTTTCACATCACCATCTTCTGACTCGTTCACAATATATCCCTCCGCGTCTTTTACCAAAGCTTCGACCTGGTGCTCCGGCTCGGATTCAATGGCTCCCACGAGTAGTTCGTCATTCCACGCGTCTTTAGAATAGGCATTGTATTGGCCAATATCTCTAGCCGGGGTTTGACGTTCCTTGTACCGTCGTTTCCATTCAACGTCTTCCGGCGTGCCTCTTTTGAAGTAGAAATATCTAGTAAAGGGTAGAGCAAGGCGTTCGTTCAAGCGGCGCTGGTAAAAATAAAATGATTTCTCGAATGGAGTGAGGTCACGGGTGATCTGAGGCGCACGCGAGAGAACCAAGCCTGCTTTAATGGTGTACACGGGTTGTGAAGCGGAGGATGTGGAGATTGAGGGGGTCGATGTCGTCAACGAGGGAGGTAGCGGCGTGTTGGAAGACGGATCTATAGAGGAAGAGACTGGTGCAGCTGCAGCAGAGGCATATCCCCGGCGGTTTAGGGTCTCTTGACAGCTTCGGCAGATTGCATTGTCGAATGTTGATCTCGACGCTGGACGGAGGTCGGTTAGCACTCAATTGCAGGGGAAAAATCTCGCATGGCCGGGCGACTCACTCAGCAGCGTCGCTACACGCCTGATACCCTGTGTTCCGGCAGACATCCTCCTCAGGCAGTGGCTTTTCCGCAGGGAGAGCTGTCGTTCTTGCGGCCTTGCAACTAAAAAATGGAAACTTCATGCGATGAAATTCGGGCCTTGGCACACTAGTCCCAGAGGAGCTAGCTGGCTCATTGACACGTGACCGATTCTTTTTCCAACATAAATTTCGAATTTCTCGCTTTTTGCTTTCTCTTCACCACGGCACCGAATCCTTATCATCAATTGCTTCGCATTCTTCACAGCGAATTGATCATTTATAGTGCCTAGAGAAGGATTCTCATTGCAGTCAATTTTCGCTAGCGGTACCTTCGATTTACCAAGGCGTACTGTTAGATAGCTACTGCGTACATATTTCGCCCGCGGGTCACGTAGGAAAACTCCCTCGGTACCATTTCATCAAAAGCAGCTATTCAGTCGGTACAAAAAATATCTCCGGTCTCGTGTGCAGACGATGGATGGATTCTTGAATTCTGGCTTCCACAACCCGTTAAGCCGAATGATTTCTGAATGTTGATCGTGAAATAATCTAAGTTGAGAATATAGACTGGTTTCCGGCTATTATTTGTGGAAGGAAGCCAGCCCATTCGCCTTCCATACGATTAATGACTCCATCTTGGCTGTGTGGGATTCAGACTGTAGTATTCCTCAACCTTTGGTGAAAGACCACCTTTTAGAATGCATCCAGGAGCCAGTTGAGAGTTTGTTCTATACGCTCATTGTATTAGATGCATTCGTTGAAACTATTAGAGCGCATTGCTGATGACAACAGGATAAAACATGCAGTCCTCCATATAGTCTCCAATATCCCGTACAGACCATTGAGATACTGCTCTACCTATCAATCCTTCAGCTCACAGAACCTTTGCGCGGTCCCAAACATTCGAAGCTTATTTCCGTAGACTTTCCAGAACTCGCTGTCCAGTCGAGGAATCAATTGACCGTTTTTTACTTTGGATTCGACAGCCGGGTTGCCGCCAGATGTTAGGAAAGGGTCGTCCTCGAAGACGTAACCCTCAGAGTCCAAATCATCCGGCTCATCGTCATCCATCCGGTCAACAAGGATATCGAATTTGGTAGTATGAGCAATGGCTATTTGATGACTTGGAACACCCGCGGGCCCCCCATGGTTGTCTAACCCACGTATAACAACTGTGGACTTGATAGAACTTGACGGGGGTATATCTGTGGCGTTCGGGGACAAACCCGTGGTTCGAGATTCTAGTTTATCTCCCGCATCCTGGGTACCATGCTGAGAGCCATTTCCTGTAGCAACAATATGCTCTCCTTCCTCACTGAGTTGAGCGGCAAGCCGCAAGAAAACGCGGGCCGTCATCAAGCTGTCATATCCAGCCTCATGTAGGGGTTTCTGGTCATTGTAATTAGGATGGTCGGGATCAACAGCTTTGGATGAAAGTCAGCATTATGCTCATATGAGTTGAGCTGTAGTACTAACTGATCGTTGGCCTCTCCTTTGCATTTAGTTTATCATCAAGCTCTTCTAGCATCGAAGACGGAAAATCCGACCCGCAGTCGTGGGTTGCAAGGTACTTGGTGTCCACTATCGTAGGGAATATTTCATGGATGGTAGCTAGAAACTCCTCTACTTTGTCTGGGAGACTCCCAAAAAAGCATTTGTAGAAATTAACCAAATCCGTGAACAGATTATGTCCAACTAAGATGAGGTGCTTGGATCTCAACTTCGCCTGCATGTAGTCGTAATTCTCTAAAATCTTCTCCTCACGGCGCGGAGAGCCGCAACTTGGATCAACAAATGTTTGAGGAGGCAGCCTCGATAAATCCCCGCCGACCATGGCCTCAACTATCCATCGGAATCCCGTTTGGTGGAAAATGTGCTCACGAACCCGCCTCATTCTTGCTTCTTGTACAGAATTTTCGCGCTGTTGATCGTACCGAATGACTTGAATGAAGGTTGATTTCCCGATTGATACTAAATCAGGGTATTCTGAGCGTACAAGTTGGTGTACTAGTCGCTTCTGGTAGTTGTTTATTCCTGATGGTGAAGCAGATCTTTTCTCAGGGCCCGGGATATTCACGTAATTCACCTTTTTCTTTCCACTTTATCAGCTGAAAACCTCGTAATCGTGAAAGGCTCCATTGATCTCACATTAGGTATGCCGACCCAGTCATCAATTGCACGGCGAGTTTCTGCCAAAAAGGCGACGGATTCTGCATCCAAGTTGTCATGGTTTATATCATCCATGGCAGCGAGGCGGGTTTTCCTGTCGCGAACCCTAGCCTTTGCCGCTTGTTCCTCTTCTCTGGAAATGTACCGAAGGCCTACTTTGAACGGTGCTTCCATGCAAAACCCGCTCTTTAGAAGGACATCGATCGCTTGAATGTTTCTTAGTGACCATTTGCTACTTAGAGAGCTGTTTCACAAAAAGCATGAGAGAAAACAAACCACTGCTTTGATAGGTCCATGTTCGTTCCAGTTCTAGCTTCGGATCAATGACGGGATCCAGATTAATATTATACGGACGGAGGGAATAAGTTCCTATTTTCGTTCAGTAAAGGATCTATCCAACCGTGTGTGAGGCTGAGGCTGCGCGGACCATTGTCAGCGTCCTCCTTGATGAAGGTCAAACCGATCTGTAAGATTTGATATTTCTCTGCAGCCTCTTTTACTTCCTCATATCTCGATTGCAGAGTTCTTCCGCTACCAGAAGAACCATCTGTTGAGGTCTTTCGATTTTGCCTGCTGAAAATGCCTGAAAATTCGAGGTCAAGGGCCACACAGCAAGATTCTGATATGTCATTAAGAATCCTGGGAAGAACATTATTAAACGATGATTTAGTCACCTCCATCCTTTTTGCAAGGAAGCAGTTAAGCTGAGCACCAATTTCACCCTATTTCAATTGAACAGTAGAGGGCCAGCCGAGGGGCAAGGAGCAATCTATGTGGTGAGCATGAACAAAGAAGCCAACAAAGGCTGGGTCTTCATTCATCAATCACGCTCCGCAACTCCCTGCTTGCTGGCTGTGCTGTAGGTGTGCTGATAGAGACGAGGAGATGCAGTCACTGTCAACAGGTGTCAAAATCCAAGATGTCATGTCTTTGCCCTTTGACTGCAGAAGTTGCTTTGAGGTCCAGCTTGGGTTTGGTCCCGTGACGGCCGCGGCTGGACCGAGGATGTGAATGAACGTTCACCCAGAAGAAAGCCGACTTCATGCTCCGGCTGGCGATTGCTCACCTCCTGTTGCCAGTCCCAAACCAACAAGTTCTTTCATTACAAGAAACAGTACGTCGAGTCCCCGAGGTTGACAACCATCTTCCACAAAATGTCGGATGACGGAATATCGCCGGCGCAATCCCAAACACTCTCCGCATCCCAGTCGCGTTCCTCCAACAAACAGCTCCAACAGGCCTACAAGCAAGCCTCGCAGCTATTCCTTACCCGCAGATTGCAAGAAGCGCTCTCGGTAGTCGAACCATTGGTGACCCCTTCTACACCAGAAGAGCTTCAACGCGACCAAGCACACAGCAATGGCGCTGGAGATGCCATTGCGCCCATAGCCTCAGCCTCAAGCAATTTGCGGATCAAGGTGTGGAATCTCTATATAACTCTCCTAAGCTCTATTGTCGATTTGGGCCCGGAAGAGGGAAAGCGGCAAATTGGACAAAAGGAGTGGAAAACGTTGGCTTCCAAAGTTCGTGAGGGCGAGATATGGAACAGCGTTGTCCAAGACGGATATAGAGGTTGGGAAGGTTCCGTAGACGCAGACGTTGTCTATAATTTGTCCGTATCCTCCGTTTTTCCTACTACCGTCTCAATAATGGGAGTAACTGGCTTGCTAATCAGACTCAATCACAGAGCCACTCTATTGCTCAACCATTCTCCAACGCAGACGCTTAACCAAGAACGCCTTGAGCACTATTTATCATCATCCGGCCTTCCAGACTTCGATATCGAGGCGCACATCCAGAAGTCATCCCCCACAAGCCGAAAACAAAGGATAGCATCCTCCAGGGGCGCAGATACTCCAAAGGACCTGACGATCCGCGTGAGATTAGTAGAACTATTTACCCTCCATGTTCTTCCACGAAATGGCGAATGGGAGTACGCTAGAGAGTTCATAAGGTTAAATCCGGTTCTAGATGAGGAGAAGAAGGAGACCTTTCTCCAAACACTTGATGGTTTACAGGAAGCAAAGGAACGAGATTCCGAGCGCGCCGCAGAGCTCCAGAAAGAAAAGGAGGAGGAACTGGAAAGACAGCGAAAGCAACAGGAAGAGGAAGAGGAAGCACGGCGGAAACTGGAAGAGCAGCAACAACGAGCAGCCGAGGCGTCCGCAGCTGCCAAATCAGCTGCTGGAAATCCATCGATCGGCCATAGGCGCATAAGTAGCGAAGTTGATTACGGTATCGAGCAATCCAATCCGAACGGCAGCCTTAAAACTCCAGGCATCACAAAACCAGCCATCAAACCAACTTCACGTTCCGAGTCTTCCAAACAGATAAAGAAATCTGAGAAGCCTAAACCCGGTGCTCTCAGGCAGGTCCGCCACTTAGGCCATCTACTTGTTGCATGTCTACAACGCATGGCAAAATCGATGTCGTCTAGCCCCATGTCATTTCTGAGAACGATCTTGCTTATGATCGGTGTAATAATGGCGTTGGGGCGCCCGGATACGCGTGAACGGCTTCGACGGATTACTGGTTCTGGTTGGGAGAAGATAAGAGCAACTTTGGGAATGGGCGTTAAGGTTAGTTATATATAGCTATAAACTACGATATCGAGCAGAGCTCATTTGATCTTTTGCCAATCCGCTTTTCTTCATCCTGTATTATATAGAACCATACGTGGGGCATCGTTGCTATTGACTTTTAACCTCACTCTTATTGGCGGCTTCCTGGGAATAGGTTCAATCAGATGTTATTGTCTTGAACGGTATCTCGAGGTAGACACCACTCGCAAAGCTTCACATTGACAATGTAAATTCAATACAATAAAAATAAAGGGTGGCATCGATCCCAAACCAGGCAAATCAGCAGCCCTGTCACATGTACATATATTCCAACAGAACTTTTTCGTGATTATTTGCAATCCCTTATGGGTATCAAAGTTGCATACTGAGAAGAGACTAACCTCATGGAATAAGTGCACCTACCCTCACAGCTAGGTTATTCACAGGAGCTTCTAAAATGACAGAAAGTGCGGCCAGAATCATATATAGCTATAGAGACCCTTTATACGAGCATCTGTCGTGATAACTCATTCATATAGTTAGCTTCTCTTCATCTCTCAAAAGCGCACCACCGTCATAGATTGCCAATATCGATTTAGTTTCCACTAAAAGTGATTATTTTTGGTTCACGCTGAATGTTGCGGCTAGGTAATTCCTAGTGTGTTAAGGGGAAATTTTCCTTTGCGTATTGAAGTGCGTGTTGACTTGAAAGTTGGACGTGCACGGGTCTGTTGGTGAGACTTCCTTCATATGTTTTCTGGAGTAGTTTTTCATAGAGGTTGGTGACCGTAATGTCTCCCGTGCCATTCGAATTACCACGAAATAGGTATTATAGCGGATTGATCTTCAGTTTTAATAAGCGCCAATGGGCTTTAAGTTATTATATCGGGATACTCGTAGGGTCTTCAGCACGCCATTCATAGGGCCTGGTAGCAGGATGACTAGGCTCAGGGAAAGTGTCTGGTAAAAGATTCGGGCCTTGTAATGGCTGTACAAGGGGCTCATACCAAGAGTATATGATCATAACCAGAAGGTGGGTATGAAATCTTCGTCGAGGTGCTGGTACAAAGACAAAGTAAGATTGGAAGCTTCCCCAGAATCCAGGCTGCTAGCTCCCTTCATCCTCTTTGCATGCGATGGATGAAGCTCGCATCCATCAGCCTGGATGATAGGAGGTCGTCCCGGCCTTCATCGAGTGGTATAGCCACGTGATGAACTCGCTCAGCAGCGGCAATTTTCAACATCAACTCCAATCTATTGGAACGTTCTTGATCTTGGATTCGAGACGCTGGTGACCATAATGCTGGCAGATACACCGGCTATTTTGAAATTCACAGATTCATGAGGGAAGGGGCCCCTAACACTGTCCAGGGTTGCTCTCAGGCAAATCTCTCTCTTTTGCGATCACAGCGACTCCTCAATTCACTTTCCATTACCGACATTTAACGGGTCCGTCACGACAGAGTCGCACTCGAGTTCAACGCTCTCACTACCGCTTGCGCCTTTCCCATGCGATTTTCGTGACCATGATCGGAATGGTTGGATCAGAAAGCGAGCGCAAAAGATTTGCTCTATGGTGTATAAAATGACAGGCACGGACATTCTCGCATTCAAAGAGACATCGTTCGATTTATACATCGCGTATAACATGGGTATTCCTAGGCCAGTGGTTTTTGCAGCACCACAAAAACAAACGGCGATTGTTTCTGCAGGAGCTAATCGAGGGAATACACGACCACCAAAACGATTTGATGTGAGGAATTTCGGTGGCCGGCAGAAGAAAAAACAGATTCCCGTAAGAAATAAATATAGACCAATGTTAAAGAATACCGCGAATACGATGGTCTCTTTGGACATGGACTCCAACGCCTGAGTCGCAAAGCAGGTGGAAAAACTCGCCCTAGGAATCCCAGAGGTTAGGGACGCTTTCCAGATTTGTCCTCATATACAACTCACCACGTTAATAATATCAAGCAGCAACCTGAAACTTTGGAGAGGTAAAACTTTTGAACAATGTGTTCGACCTGCCGAGGCCACGTCCAGCGAGCCGCCTGCCCCAGGATCAAGGGAATTAGTACGCTGACACCCAATGCCTGGAAAACCTGACGATACATCGATCCCAGATCGGAATCGGCATCTCTCCAGGGGTCGAACTCGGCTGCTTTTGGGAGCAAAGTCACTGTCCACCCAGGCGTAATAAAGGGGCCCAGGATGTTGGCGACTAAAACCTCCACCAATGCCACTGCGTCATCGCCTCCGGCCTCTCTTGTCATGACCACATTCGATGAAATAGTTGTCGGCAAACAAGCCACCAGAATATATCCGGCCAAAACCGCCTCGTCGATTCGGTGACTTTGGTCCGTGGTGTAGATCAGATGGACGAACGCAATCGTTGTGGCAGGCACAACGAGAAAAGATATACCTTGGACAAGAACGTGGACACGGTAGTTGAGCATCTGCTGTAAAAGCTTTTCCTTTGCGATACTCAGGCCGCTAATCAAGAAAATGATTGCAACGGCGGCGTATAGAATCAAATACTCTGCCCGTATGATCCCACCGTGTTTGGCAACGTTTGGAAAGAGGTAGGCCAACAAGCACGAAAGCCCAATGCCTATTAGGAGATATTGCTTGAGAATAAAAGTACCGAGAGCTTTTAGCACCCTTTTCCCGGGCTCCAATCGATCCTTGAAAACCTGGCTATCCATAACAAGTGAGATCCCCAGCCGCTCTTACTGGGAAAATGAAGATTTTGCCGATTCCCGAAAGATATTCATCATTATTCGATGCACCCGCTGAACGTGGTCGCCAGGAGATATGTCTAAACCCGGATAATGCAAAGTATGGTTCAATAACAGCCAGCAGTGCCACCATCAACATCAACAAATAGGACAAGAAACGAGTATGCTTGAGAGAATCAATTCGTTGTCTGCCCATGATCCGCATAGCTAAGACCGAATTAGCGTGTGGAGACGTCACTCGCTGACCACTGAAGAGGGGAAATGGTGGTTAAAAATCCCGGTATGCCTCGATTTTGTACCCGCCTAGCCGCAAAAAGCATTCGGAGAAATGGCGACATGTCGTAGTTAAGATACAGAAATGCGTCGGTGCTAACCCAATGATTGGATGATTCCATCAGGGTTTGCTCCTGGCTTTTCTCACGGACGCGCTTGTTCGGTGTTTGGCATTCTTCTTGTGATGTACCGCGCCTTTGCATAAAGTGCGGTGTTCCTGTTTATATAACTAATGAATGGGCTTCAGGTAGATAATAAATACAGTAAAGCCGGAACCAAAGGCTTCTCTTCGTAGTACGTACTGTTTCTGAGTGGTGTGGTGGGATGATATCAAATTGGTTTCCAAAATAACACGGCCAAGAGCCTGGATCTAATCAGATAAGATAACTAAATCATGCTTAGTCATATCCCATTGCCGGCCCGTAGTTTCCCCGGTCGAGCTGATCGGTATTTAGATTCGCCGAGCTCCGCAAGTTCCGCTCGGCCTTCCAACCAATCACCATGCACCCGCTGTTACATCTCGCATCGCGATGATCGACGGGTTGAGGACCTAGATAGAGCCAACTAACTGCACTGTCAATGGCGTAAGGCGGAAATCGCAGGAAATGAGACATTCAGTTTGGCACGTCAAGACCAGTTGCGGATTTAAGCGCATGTGAGTGACTGTAACCCCTTTAGCACACGCATTAGTACTCCGATTCGTGCTTAAAAAGCCCATTCACAAATGGTAAACTCTTGGGTATGCTGGCAAAGGCGAAGTCAACGGCTTTGGAACCGCCCACATTGCTTACGAAGTAATGAACGAGGCATCACAGAAAGACAAGTCGTTCCGACGGGAAACAGCCCAAGACACCCCATCTTACATTTTTAACGTAAGAATGCTAGCAACGGGCCCCTGAAGATCTACAAGGATATCACGAAATCGCAACTCCCTGGCAGGCTGCACCTCAAAATGACCAGCATAGCTGGAAGCTTTGAGCAGAGGTGTTGTTTTGAGAGAATTCCTTCTTGCATCAACGCGAGCAAGGGCTGTAGGGGCAAGGGTACCAACGGCATTGCATTTGGGGAGCGGTTTGACGCGGAGAAACAAAATGAACAGGAGTCCTGAGTGGTGCATCACAAATCAGCGCACTGCATGAAGTCGCAGGGCATTTGATCACCGGCTTACAATTTCGAACTTCGACTCTCATCGATTGGAGAAGCGTGTCAAAGCTGGCCTCAAAAAGTTTTCGGCCGTCTTGTATTGTCGAGTGATGACGTCGTGGCTGGCGGATAAAATCACGCTCTTGGCATTGGGTTGACATAATACACCGGCCCGCAAACTTCGGCCGTCACAGCATCCTCGGCAATTCCCCAAGTACCTCTCCCCGGGAGATAGAGAGAAGAGCGACTTAATAAGGGACATGAAATCGTTAGCGGTAGGGCGATCGGCCCCGAAATATCCCGGGATTGGCCGGCTCGCCGCAAGCGGCATCAGAAGGACCCCGAAATGGCCCGAGTCGATTGACTTGCGCCATCAGTTGTGGCTGCTCAGGCACAAGAGATCTGGCGGGAGAGGCTCAAAGAACAACATGTGAATGTATCCCCGTGCATCATATGATTAGATATCTCACATGCTCTCTCTCCCTTCAGCTTGCTGAGAACCATGGGGGGGACACAGCGCCTTTTAAGTATTCTGGCCCAAGGTTCATGGCCATGTGGGAAGCCCTTGTTCTCGAGCTGCAAAAACGTTGTTTGGACCTCGGAGTTGCCTCCATTTCTTGCTTAATGGAACAGAAGATTGGCGAGTTGCACTCTTCTCCTATCCTGAGGGTCCATTCCCTTTGAATATACGTAGAGCATCAGCTTCACCATGGCCACCCAAGCAAAATCTTTGCTCGCCCTTCGTTGGTGAACCTGCATGGATTCCCTCTCACTGTTTCATTGTGATTTTGGGTTTTCCGCATTGATTGCAACATCCCACCACTCCGTCGCCTACCCTAGCCGGGAGACCATGTGGGGAAGATTTCTTCCGCTCACCCAGATCTGATAAAGCTCAGGTGCCCGCGTTTGGTTCACTACTGACGAAATACTATTCAGGATCCCGCCACCAAAAGCCAAGAGATAAAATCACACCAATTAAATATTCTTTTTCTTCGTTTGTTCGCAATTCCGCCCTTGATTTCTGTTTCCACAGTTTCTCCAGCCCGGGGTGTTTCGGGTAAACCGTCGCAAGAGTTTCTTCAAAAAAGAACCTCTTCCCACCATCCTCGGCACAGAAAACACCTTATTTGAGTCATCTGCAACCTATCTTTGGCCAATTGATCTTGTATATTGTTTGTCTGAATCGTCAATCGCTTCGTCTTGTTTCCTTCTGAATTCACCCCGCTCCACTCTGCCATAGACCGGTGGTTTTTGAATTGCTCTCTGCATTCAGTTTTAGCAAGCTTCTCCAAAAGAACGAGTAGTGAAATAGTAAAATGGCATCAAAAGATCGCAACTCGAAACCTGCGTCCGCAGCAGTGAACTTGATCGGTAAGAAAGGACCGATGGACTTGAATGCTTGCGACGGATGTTAACATGATGTCAGCTGGTGGTAGTGCGGGAATGATGGAAGCTTTAGTGTGCCATCCTTTGGGTATAAATATCCTCCTACAGCATGCAATTCCTCTGGCAAGCCACTAACATCCTTTAGATACCGTAAAAGTTCGCATGCAACTTTCAAGGAAAGCCCGCGCACCCGGAGTGAGTAGTGACCGCGTGACCGTCCGCCTCGAATAGCTCTCAAGCTTATATTTCTGTCAGGTTAAACCACGTGGATTTATTGCAACGGGCAAGGAGATTGTGCGCAGAGAGACCGTCCTCGGCTTATACAAGGGTCTCGGGGCAGTGTTGAGTGGGATCATACCGAAGATGGCCATTCGATTCACCTCGTATGGCTGGTACAAGCAATTTCTTGCGGACAAGGAAACAGGAAAGCTGAGTAGCTCTCGGAATATGCTTGGTATGTTAAGCCAAAGTAGAAATCCGTTGTGGACCGCTAGATTCTTACTCTTGACGTTGAATCCTCTTAGCCGGACTTGCCGCAGGCGTTACGGAAGCTGTGGCCGTCGTCACTCCGATGGAAGTCATCAAAATCCGTCTGCAAGCTCAAAGCCACAGTTTGGCTGACCCACTTGACACCCCGAAATACCGCAGCGCGCCACATGCTCTCTTGGTGGTTTTGAGGGAGGAGGGATTCGGCGCTCTGTATCGCGGAGTGTCACTCACTGCTCTCCGACAGGGCACAAACCAGGCTGCGAACTTCACCGCATACACAGAATTGAAGAAGTTATTGCAAGGATGGCAACCACAGTACAATGAACTGCCATCCTATCAAACTATGGTCATCGGTCTCATTTCCGGTGCTATGGGCCCATTCTCCAACGCGCCCATTGATACGATCAAAACCCGGTTGCAGCGCACACCGAGTGAGCCCGGGCAGTCGGCCATGTCACGCATTGTGTCCATTTCCCGTGATATGTTCAAGCAAGAAGGTGCTAGAGCTTTCTATAAGGGTATCACGCCTCGAGTTATGCGAGTGGCGCCCGGCCAGGCTGTCACTTTCACAGTGTACGAGTTCTTGAGAGAAAAGCTGGAAAAATCCACCCTCCCCATCGTGGGTGGAAAATATGAGGAATAATCGAAGTCGACGATAGGCGCTCGATTGCAACGACTCGATTTGTGACATTCTATATCAGCAGACCTTTCCTATACCTGAGATTCAGGGTACAAAGGTATACACCAATTTTTTTCCTGCGATGTATATATACCTCCCTTTTGATTCTGATTTTCATATCCCTTTATATCGTTTCCATATTTCCGTGGTGTTTGAGCGGCTTGCTTCTCGCATTTTTTGCAATTGGATACTGTTGCATACACCCGATAGATTTGGTGGCTTCCTGGGCAAAAAGCGCGTGTACTGTAAATCAGGTACATTGAATGATAGATAAAGCGGTTTCAATGACTCCTGAGGATGTGAGCTGATAGACTGGAAAGAGGGAGACGTTTGGAATGAAGAAAAAGCAAAGCGGTTGACGAAATCAGTTAGTTAACAATGGGCAGTTGTGATGAGGGCAAAGCAGCCTTGAGAGTGGGGAAGGATCGCGTCACCAGCGAAGGGGAACTGGGCCATATCACCACCACGACAGCAGATTCTCCCATTCCTTTTCATCAGATTCATCTCCAGTCAATATGCAGTCAGGAATATCAGGTAACCAAAATAACCGCTCTCTACATTTCGAAAACTAAACGATTTCCAGCCTCGGTTGAGCTTCACGACGCCTTCAAGGCCTTCCTCTCCTCGCCGACATCCCTCTTCTCCCTCCCCATCACAATTGACAAAGAACAACTCGTCCCTCTATCCCCCATCGCTTTCGCCTCTAGAACCGGCGATAGTCCAGACAGCCAATTCTTTGCATCTCTTCAATCTCTCAAAGATGTCCTCCAACCCAAAACGCCGTTATACCTCCTCCTCCGCCGATTTCCGCATGATGACCCTGCAGAATCGCAGTTGATTGCGCTCACATATATCCCATCAAATAGTCCTGTGAGAGCCAAAATGCTCTTTGCAAGCACCCGGGCGACGGTGGTGCGTGAACTAGGTTCCGAGAAATTTTCCGGTACCGTTTTCGCGACAGATGAGGAGGAAATTCTGAGCGAGGAGGTTTGGAAGGAAAGAGAGGCGGATGAGAATGTTGCAAGGGGTGGAAGCGGAAATACCATTGCGGGAGGTGTTAATGATGCGGAGCAGAGGCGGCAGGATGTTATGGGGGAACAGGAAAAGGCACTGGATGCCATCAGACGAGCAGAGGATGAGGCGCGGAGCATGTCGATTAGGAGGGACATCGGGATTGGTGGAACAGTGGGTGCTGATGGGACAGCTGATATTAAAGGCGTTCCGTTCCCGCTTGGGGAGGGGGTTCAGGAAGCCCTGCAGAGGTTGGAAAACGAGGAAGGAATGGCTACTTTGCTGGTAAGACCGTTTTCATTGGGTTGCGCTAATTCTAGCAAGACATGCATCTATACTAAGCAATTTCGAAGGGCATTGATATCCCCACCGAAACTCTCACGCTTCGTTCCATTGAATCAAACGTTGCGCCTGCATCGTTGTCCGGTCTGATGCCGAATTCGACGCCCCAATACACTTTCTACCGGTACCCGAAAACATCCGCGTTAGTCTTTGTTTACACATGTCCGTCGTCATCGGCCATTAAGGAACGCATGTTATACGCCAGTTGGCGCAGGGGAACACTATCAATGGCTGCCGGACTTGGTTTAACGGTTTCTCATAAGGTAGGTGCCGCGGTCCCCGTGTACAGTGTAGAGGAAGAATTTTTTCGCCTTGGGTCAGTCGAAACAAATGCTGACTGTAGCTTTAGATCGAGGCGTCCTCACCTGAGGACATCACGGAGAAGAGATTGCAGGAAGAAATCGATCCGCCGAGAAATGAAGGTCCTCAGCGTGGTTTTGCAAGGCCACGCAGGCCGGGACGGTGATTAACATATGGTGATCGTATAAGTGTGAATACCCGGCCATGCTAACTTGTGCGACGATGTATGCCCTCGTTGTCGTGCTGACTCTTATCCATCGACAACCTTGGTTTTCAAGAGTCTAACTCTTCGTAATCTCCCTTCGGGCGTTTTTTAACTTCAAAAACGGAGCCTTAATAGTGTAGACCGCAGCTTCAGATTCCCATGCAGCCATACTTCTCGCTTTTGTCGCTGCGCCAACTCAGTTGATAAAGCCGGGCCACTATAAGTCTCAAACCAAAATAGGAAAGGGTATGTTGTCACATCGCCGTCGTCCGATGCTGCTTCCGCTGGAAGAATAGATCGGTCCTCGAACTTCCCAGGTTTATAATCTTTGGACAGCCGTCTCTGTCTTTCTCCAGTCTCGTGCATTCAAAACAGTAGAACGCGTCACTAATCCCTTCGCCTCCGCACACAATACATTTGTTTTGGTAGTTGCCAAAGGAACATTCATCGCAAACGCGGACGAGCGTAGTGGGCCGCACGTAGGAATCGCAGACGGGGCATTTACCATCGCATTTATCGCAGAGGCGGCCGATGGAGATGCCGGTTTGCTTGCGGCACATAACGAGATCGGGATGATGACGAGACATGGTAGTTTAGATTATCGCTCTTGAGTGGAATCAATTCTGTACAGGGTGATGGGGGAGGTTGTCAACTTGTCAAGTGCTTTTTATCGATTGCCTTCTCGTTCTTTCTGAAGACGAGGTTTGCTTTGCTGACAAACACCCAAAACAAGACGAGCAAGCCACGTGATAGCGCTAGCTCGCCGCAAAATTTAGCTTTGGACTATTGCGATATAGGTTAGGCTTGCCTTGGCGGTAATGTGACATCGCGAAGGCGATCGCGGATGACCCATGGGAATACCATATCTTACATGCATGTTGTAGCTGAGTGTCGTGGGGCGGTTTATTCAAAGTAAGAAGCATGGCGGAAGGGTAAGTCCATATAGGATATTCCACTGGCTCTGACACTGATTCAATCCCTAGATCGATCGCGTCAGCTGTCGCATTACCAGACCCGCCACTCGCGAGCCCCGGAGCGTCGTTCAAGAGGCGCCAGTCACCCTCGGAGGAAGACAACGACAATAAACGACGCCGAGTAAGCTCCGGTAATGTGCAATCTACGGGGACAGATGCTTCTCCAATTTCGCAAGCGGATGAGCGGGTGACAGCAGATCGTAGAGCGGAAGCCCGGGGAGGGACTCGTCGGAGAAGCGGTCAGGAAGAAGAGCGAAAACGCGGCCAAAGGTTGTTTGGCGCATTGATTGGGACCCTTTCACAAAGCTCATTTACAGCTACACAGAAACGACGCGCCGACATTGAGCGGAAGCAGCATGCCAAGTTGAAGAAGGAGGAAGAAGAATACGGTGAAGAAACTAGGAAGCGGCGCGAGGAGTTGATGGCTCGGAGGAAAAGGAGTCAAAAGCTTTATGAGAAGGAGTCGGTTCGTCAACTTAGCCGTGCGTACCTATTTATTTTTGATTATGCTTGCTAATACAAGTGGTCAGCTTGAGGTTCGACATTCCAACATGCGAGCTACTGCTCATTCTCTCAAAACAAAAGCGCACCCAGTCTTGGTATGTACTTGTATTTTGCGAGGATCATACAAGCCGTAACTAATATATTATCTAGTACTACAAACCATGGCAGCTTCGACCTGAAGATAAAGACATCATTAACACACAGATTGAGGAGACAGAGGCTACGATCGCAAGGGAAATCGAAGATTTCGAGTGTCGGAATCAGCCAACTACTGAAGAATCGCTACCCGAAGGGCAGAAGTCGGCAAAGGTACCTCCGGCAGCTGAGTCTACAACCACTGGGAATACGATGGAGTCTATTGCTAACAATGACCCAAAACCGGACGCGGTGGGTTGCGATACTAATCATCACGAAGCTCCAGAGACTCACCCACAAACCGTTACTAACAATGTTCCTATTTCTCCGGACCGCGACGAGGAAAACAGTCACGCGAAGCCGACCGAGGATGATTCTGGAGAGGTGATCTTGGAAGACAAAGAAGATACCGTCATTTACTAGGCTGGCGATGACTGGCGTTCCCCTCCAGCCTTGTAATTCCAAAGGAGTTACACAGCAATCATCTCGCTATTTCTTACATTCGCACCGTGTTCGTTTCTGGATGCAGCTTTACTCAAAGTTTTTCTGCTTAAATCATGTCTGGCAGTCCAGCTTGGAGCCCACTTCTCACGGCGTCAACTCAGCTAAGGTGCATATGGGTGCATTTTCTCAGTCATCACTCATAGGTAGTGCCATTTTTTATTTCGTTATTAGTGGCTTAAAAGTTGAGAATGTAAAGATAGCAGAGCTTAGGCATAACTTGAAGGAAGCCAAGGTTGGTCCCCTCTTGGACCACGTGAGGTCAACCTCGGTTTGATTGACAACCTCACCCGTCGCCATCTAGATATCCGCCCGAAATCATGAGATAAACACAATGGGCATTTCCCTGTAGTATTCAGATTTTTGTTCTGTTTGTCACAGGTTGAACTTCGCTCCCTTGGGCCTGCAAGTTGCCTGTAGATTCGACCCGCCACTTCCGAACATCGGGATTCCCAGCATCAGAAACTAGAATGGCGGTAGACAAGATAGACGTTTGGAACGATTCGCGGATCCAAAAATGCTCTACTTTTCTCAATGGTACAAGATATGGTAAGGGTGCTCTACAGCCAAATGTTCGCATTTCCATTGCTTACCCCGGTTAGGCTACCTTCTCGGGGTGCCGTCTGGCGGGGAATATCGAGCAACTGTTTTCCTGGTCCGTATTACTACTATGAGTTTTGATTGCTGGGGATAGCTTGTGATGGAACCTGACCGTGCCCAGATCCATGGCTTTCCTGATCTTTCTATGGGATGGAGGTATCAAATCCCAATGCTTTTGAACAAAGGTCTTCGGGTTGTTGCTCCTGACTGCCTTGGCTATGGGCGAACAGTACGTATTTACTGGTTTCCCCTGCGCTTGTTGATTGGAATTGAGATTGAATCCACATCCCTAGGAAGCTCCGGAGTTCACAGCGGAATCTGCCCAGCGGTATGCATTCAAGCAGTGTGCGGCTGATATGAAAGAGCTCGCTCGGCAGCTGGGTACTTCGAAGATTATTCTTGGAGGCCATGATTGGTTTGTGACCCCGGAGCATCTCAACAGACTTATTCTGGCGGCCCAAATCCTCCCAGCCTAGCAGTTTGCTGATTTTATCCCGGTCGAACTCCAGGGGCGGCTTTGTGGTCTATCGGATTGCACTCCACTGTCCTGACTTTGTTACTCACATCTTTTCCGTCTGCACCCCGTACGGGCCCCCTCACCGCGAGTTCGTTCCACTAGACGAACTGGTAACAACTCGCCTCCCCTTTTTTGGCTATCAGCTTCAGTTTGTGAGCGGAGAGGTAGAGAAAGCTATCAAAACCGAGAAGGATATTCGACAGTTCCTAATTGCATTGTTTGGTGGGAGGACTCCTACGGGAGAGTTCGGTTTTGATGTCAAAAAGGGTGTACTTTTGGATAAATTGGCAGACTTGCAGCCCTCATGGCTGCTGAGTGAAAAGGTAATCAAGGCGGTGTAAGCGCCCCGGTATATGATCAATGCTAATTGTTCTCAACAGGAGCTCAATTATTACGTTGAAGAGTATGCTAGAAGCGGAATACACGGTCCATGTGGGTCATATTTCATTGCCCTAGCAGATTAGAAAATGCGCTAACATTGCCAATAGTAAACTGGTACCGCATCCGCGAGCAAAATTATAAAGACGACCTGGAGCTTATCGGTCGTGGCCTCGACATTCCAGTCCTTTTCATCAGGGCCACAAATGATGACGCTTTGCGCCCTGAGTTGTCAAAAAATATGCACAAATACCTTCCAAATTTGATCCAGGCAGAGATTGAAGGTACACATTGGGTTCTGTGGCAGAAGCCCGAAAGATGTAATGAGGTTATCGCGAAATGGATCGACAATGTTGTGTTTGAAACACAGGGTAAACTGTAAGCTCAGTTTTGGATGTTGCTTTTCTATGGCCTAGTGTATATACTTCCATGCGAAACCATAGCGGGACGTTTAAGCGCCTACATGGAATCCAGATATCCTGAGTACACGAAATGGAAGAGTATTTTCATAGCCAGGGCGGAGAAGGATTATCTGAAATGCTGCCAACCAGGACAATAGCATGGCCGTAAAATAATTCACACATGTCAAACCTGCGAATGAAGCTTTTATGTTCAATCTTCCAAAGCATGCATTTCGATCTCCACGCCGCACCTCTCTATACGAGTAATATACTCTTCACCTAGGGTCGCCGGTGTCAGGTAGCCTCCTTTAATATCCTTCCCAACCTTTTTGCTGGTTATCAAAACCATCGCGGATTCGGCAAGCAGCATTCCCGTCATGGGATAAGCAGGCCCCTGGTACGAGAGCTTACCCGAAAGCCGAATAGGTTTCTTTCCAGGCTCGGCGGGGTCTGCTGTTGCAATACCACGATATTCTACGTGATCTGCCAAGGTATCCTGTTTCTTAGGACCTTGTCCCGGTTCAGGAAGCAATTTCCTCGCGAGCCATCGGATAGGGGGTAGCATCAGACTAATCGCAATTAAGCCAAGACCCATATGTACTGCAAAGCCAATGAAGACGTTGCGAACTTTGGCAAATTCCTGAAAATGAAAATTCCGATCATAAAGATTTGGCATGAGGGAACTACTCCTGTGCACGATGGCCGTGTCACATGCCGCTGGCACAGCCGTAGTTACTGTCCCGATGTCTCTGACGTTATGAACGCCAACAAGTTTTCGATAAAGTGGTGTTGATGGAATGGCGCTCGGCCTAGAAACGGAGATGCGGTATGGATCACTCATGGAGCGGAGTTCCGCAAAGGATAGATTGCTAAATGCAGCGAGAATGGACGCGGCTGTTCCGCCGCTAATGCCAGCCCCCCTGGAGAAAATAGTCTTAGATCGAATTCACTCACTTTCATTCGGGAGAGTTGACTCACTTTAAGTCGTAGATAGACAAGACTACGTCCTTGACCTTTACGCCAAATTCGCGCTTCATTTTCGTAGCCATTGACCAGGTCAGCAAATCTGATGGCGCGCTCTCAAAGCCATTCGTTGGTATCATCTTGTGACAGGAAGTTAGCATGCACTCAAGTTTTCAAATGTGAAAAGGTCACTAACAATCGCCCCGGACTTTTTGGCAGCCTCATCATACTGGTCAATCATTTCTTTAATCCATGGTATTTCTCCGCTCCTAGTAGGCCCAAATCGTCAGTGTCTGAGACCGGATAAGAGCTGGGGGACCTTACACGTCAAGGTAATGTGTACCATTCTCTGCACAAGCCTTTACCACCGGAGTTGAATACATATGATAAGGCCCTACGCAGTTAATCAACACTCTCGCTCTCCCTGCAAGCTGTGCTAGATCGTCATCGGTGAGTTGCACGGAGAGGATTTCTAAACTCGAAGATCAGCCAGAATCACTGTGTGGCAAGATGGGAGATATTCCCGGGCGGATGTCCATAGAGAAAGTGATCAGGAAGCGCTTGCATATACCTGGGTCCTGACGATCGGGTCCATCCCTTTTCAGCTCCGCTGAAAGTGTTTGCAGCTTCTGGGATGATCTCCCCGCAATAGCCCATTTCAGAGTGGTGGGCAGGTTGTGAACAATGTGCTCAGCACAACATCTCCCCGTATAGCCCGTAGCCCCTAGGAGCACGATATCGAGGTTCCTAGACGATGCCATAGCCCTCACGGTGCAATTGAATCTGCAAATCAAAGCTTCGATGACATGCAATTTGACAGGCAATCAAAGATACCACAGCATCATTTTGCCCGCTCTCGTTGGAAGGGCCTACATAACAGTTTCGCGTTCCCATTCCTCGCCATCCTCAAACAGGGGAAAGAATCAATGATATCAGATCCTCCACGTGACTTTAAGCGATGTATCGGAATAAGGTAATCCCGACTGCATCACCTGATCTCCGTTTTCGGTCTAGCTCGAAGGGCTTTCGCCAAGCCCTCGCAGCCCACTAAGCGAGCCCGCACCACATCTGGAAATTTGTCGAACTGCACTTCCTTCTCCTCGATCGCAAGATACACACAAAAGGCGCGACAAGATGACGAAGCGCACAAAGAGTATGTTCAAATGACAGAGTCATGTTTTTTTGGAGCTTCTGGTTGCTAACACAATGGTTTATAGAGGTCGGCGTTACCGGTAAATATGGTACTAGGTACGATTGCAAATTCTTGAACCTGCGAGATCCGGCGAAACTCCCTCGACGAATTGTGCGAGATAAAATTGAATTAAACGGGACTTGCTGACGCACTGATAAAATTGAATAGATATGGTGCCTCGCTCCGTAAGCAGGTGAAGAAGATGGAGATCTCCCAACACGCCAGATACACCTGCACTTTCTGCGGCAAGCCCACCGTCAAGAGAACAGCCGTTGGAATCTGGGAGTGCCGCTCTTGCAAGAAAACCGTTGCCGGAGGTGCCTGGACTGTTGCGTAAGTTTCCCGTGAGCAGCTGCAATTCAAGGATTTCGCAACCACATAGGCTTTCAAACGAAAACGGACCTGAGGAGCGAGGCTAATTGCGTTTCTCCTGCTGCAGAACCCCTGCTGCCGTTGCCACACGATCAACCATCCGTCGTCTTCGTGAAATTGCGGAAGTTTGAGTAGGGGAAATGGCGTTCCTGTTCCTGGCTCTGTCTTTTTTATTGTCACGGGAAATGATGAATGTTGGGGCATATTGAGCGCTGACCACTCAGTACGACTGGGCCTGCTCAACCGAAAATGTCGATAGCTCGAGTATACCTCTATTGCCGCCGAGGCTCGCTGATAGACATTACAAAATACCACTGCTTTATGCCCTATCCTGGATCCTACATTGGTATCTCAACTTCCATAGATGGAAGCGCCAACCAACATACATACGTATAGAACAAAATGCACATCGCGGCTTGGGGATTAGCTGTTCTTTGAATCATGGAGGATTTCTTGCTGCATTTCGGGGGCAGCGCCCGAATGAACAGTGTTCCGTTCTTGCATGCAGGCACAGTGTTTCAGAGCGTCAGAGGCCCATCTTGTAGTGCGCCAATCACACGGGCCGCCGGGGGCTGTGTTCTCCAACCCGAAAGGAGCCGTGAGGCCTGGTCTCGTGGTTTGATAGGCGATGCTCAGCTGAGCTAATGCAGTCACCTCTGGTGTCACGTTATCCGGGCCTATGCCTGTTCCCGCCTAGCGCCTGGCCTAGCTCTGGTTCAAAAGGCCATCCACGTCCCCCACAACTTCAAGGCGCTTTCTTGTCTTCACCTCTACATCCGTCCTCTTCTGCTGAATTCTGACCTTCATGCCGCCAAAAAACCTCCTATCGTGTAATCTTGACATTGCCCACATCAATCATGTCCGATACCTGCATTGTGTGCTTAGGAGACCTTGGCGAAGGCGCCAGCGATCCCACTCTCGCCGTCGATTCGTTGCCAAGACCCTTGAGCGGTGACGGTGTCTGTGAAGATGTCACTGCTCCCCAGAGTCTCGACGAATTCTCTCGGTATATTGCTCACTTGATTCCCTGTGGTCATAACCTTCATAATGAATGTTTGAAGCCCTGGGTAGAACGAGCGAACAGTTGTCCCATTTGCAGGCAAAAATTCAACGTTGTAGAGCTTGCTGAGAACCTTGGAGGTGAGTAACTCCCCGTGCAAGTTCCCAGCCCAGAGCGTGAATGGCATATTAACCACATCTGTTTTAGGCCAAATTATCTCGTCTTATGCTGTCGAAGATCGAGTCCAAGTGGCAGAGATTGATCCCACGTTGATTATCGAGGACCTTATCGACGATTCAGACACTCAACCCTGTCCCATTTGCGGGGACGACGACAATGAGGAATGGTTGTTGCTATGTGATGGGTGTGACACAGCGTCTCATACATATTGCGTCGGTTTGGACTCGGTTCCTTCCGGCCCATGGTTTTGTTGCCACTGTCAAGCCCATAGGTCACTTCAGCCCGATCGCTCAAGGTCTCAAAATCGGTCTTCGCGTCGTACAAGGGCAGACGTAAGACGGGCTCGCACTCGTAACCAGATCCAAGCTCTCCATTGGGCGCAGGTTTGGCAGTCAGTCTGGGACCATCTCAATTTAGATTTGGACTTCCCATACGACGACGAACAAGCCGTAGACCGAATCATTCAGCAGCGGCGGCGTGAAGCCGCCAACAGAAGGGAGTTTAGAAGTTGGGAAAGACGGTTCAGGCAAACGGAACGGAACTTTGGGTCCGCTCGATTTAGGAATAATGCCTCGGATTTGCTCGAAGTTGGTCGAGGCTGGCCATCCAGGCCACGACAAAGGGTTGAAACTCCCGAACCCGAGTCTATCGATGAAATTAGAGCTTGGAACGCATTTGAGAGAGCGCGAGAAATTCAGGAGGCGCCAACCACCAATCGAAGAAAGAGGAAATCCCCAACCGCCTCCCCCATCGAACCCGAACAATCTCAACCCGAGCGTAGATTGAAACGACCACGAACGCGGAGGCCAGAAGAATTAGCTGACCTTCTAGAACGGGGAGAGCCTTCTCGAACCGGGAGGCCTTCCGCCATCGCCGGCAGTCCGTTAGCGGAATCCGGGCCGACATTTTTGCAATCACTTTTGAAAGAAGTGGAAGACTCGTCTAGTTCCCATCCCATACACGGCGCATTCCCTCCGTCTAATCTTACATCGAGAGCAGTTGACTCGATTTCTCCTGGGCCGTCATCTCCAGCATTGTCGCCCATTTCTTCGAACCGTTCGTCTCCTCATCCTTCATCTCACACAAGCCCACAAGCCACAAATGGCCCGGCAACTCCCATGTCCTCGGCATCAGACCCAGGTTTTTCGTCACCCGAGTTTTCGCCTTCATGCTCTCCCACCCGTGATACACTTTTAGTCGACAGAACTCGGTTTTCTCGACAGCTAAGACGACAATTACACTCAGGCGATCCCCACAGCGACCCTTCGTCTCCATACCGTTTACGGTCGCAAGATTCTTCTCCGTCACGCCCTGAACTCCCACTTGATGTGAAATCTGATTTACAGAAGATTGTCAGAGCGGCTCTGAAACCTCATTACCGCAAGCATCTTGTCTCGAAGGACGAGTATACTGAGATCAATAAGCGCATTTCTCGCATGTTGTACGACTTGGCAGTATCCAAAGAGTCCGGCGACCCGATGGACACGGAAAGCAAGGCGAGATGGGCTCACATTGCGAACAACGAAGTAGTGAAAGCCGTGCAAGCAATTCAAAAAACCGGGCCGAACGAAGGAAGCGAGAGCAGTGCAGCATCGTCATGACGAAACCTTTATCACGAATTGCAATTATAGCATGTACTTTACTTTATGCCGGCTTATGAAGCCTTTGTTGTAGCGAGCTAGATGCATGGCATGGTGTTCTCTGATTATGGTGTCTGGGCGTGTTGAGCAGCGATAGGCATGTTTCCAGGCCAGGTATGGGGTTTGGGCGGGAGGTGATTTCTGCCTCCGACGTGTTGGAGCTTTCCTTGCATATACCTTTTTGATTTGCGCTGAGTGTTATCAAGCTTTATGATATCCATCAAGTTATGAAATATCCTGTCTTTTGAAGTCGAGAAGGCGAGAAAACATGCTGAAGCAAAGCGAGATGGTTGATTAATAATGCAATTCTCCAAGTCCAGGGCACTCTGGGCCTCAACCATAACGTTACTCTTCCATTTTCTTGCCCACCTATTATCCCCATTTCCATCCGCTCTATTAACGCTGCTTCTCACATAGTTGATTACTTTGCGTTCTTCGCTGAAGCCAAGTCATCCAAGCTATTTTAAAGATGGGAGACCGTCGTGCCGCTCCATCCGCTTCTGGGCTGCCACAGACTCCAAACCCACGGCGTGGAGTGGTAACCTCGGCATGCTGAAGAAGCCATGGGGTCAACATGGTCAATCACCAAGGCTATTATCAATCAAACCGTTTTTTAAGGCACGGTTATGTCTCTTCGATTGGCTGCAGGCGGCTCAATGACCGGTGGCCTGGTATTTTAGCGACCTTTTTTATATCATAACTGGTTTCGGATTTCGGCTTGGGGGTATTATCCAGAGATGGTGGACATCTCGATCTTTCGTTCGCTTGGAGATTCATATATACCACGGCGATAGGGCAACTATCGCGGTGCTTTCATTGACAGATTTTTGATCTAACTTCTATTTCTACAATCGATGTGATTTGCGGCTTCGACTTCTAAGGCGGCCAGTTTTCCTTTTTTGCTCATTAAAAAGAGAATGTTTAGCAGCTCTTTATATAAAATCATATGATAAGATGCATGTCGAGAAACCTCCAGTAGTGGAACCTATCTCTGGGTCCGGCTCTACCACTCCATATCGACAAATTTCTGACCGGAGCCTACCAAGCGCATCTTCAGACGATAGCGTTGGTAGTGATGCTACCAGATTCGACCCAAGGATACCGTTAGCAACGCCGTTGAAAGACCCCATAAACAGGCAATACAACAGGGATATCGAGAAAGAGCCTGGTGTCACACAGCCTGATATTTCTCCAGACGCACCTCACGCCGGAGATCCGGATTTGGTAGGCTGGGATGGACCCTCGGACCCTGAAAATCCCAAGAATTGGGCCACCGGGAGGAGGTGGTATATCACCATGTTGGCGTCAACAATGACCTTTTGCATTACGTTTTCCAGCAGTGTTTTCAGCCAGGCCACCGCGGTCACTGCAGTGATTTTCGGTGTTTCAACAGAGGTGACCACATTAGCAACGAGTTTGGTTGTGTTGGTAGGCTCTCCGAGTTTTCATTGCATCTGTTGCATAGTTTAGCACTGACATGCTTTGAAAGGGATTTGCCCTTGGCCCTCTGGTATTCGGACCGCTTTCTGAGTTGTATGGGCGCCGGAATCCGCTTCTTGTCGGATTTGCTCTTTCTGCAGTTTCCCAAATTCCTGTGGCTGTTTCTCGGAACATTCAAACACTCTTGATATGTCGGTTCTTTGTGGGGGTATTTGGGTCTGCGGCTATGGCGACTGTCGGCGGGATTCTGGTGGACATGTGGGATCCTGTTAATCGTGGAATAGCCGGGGCAACCTTTGCGTCGGCAACGTTCGTTGGCCCTATTGGAGGGCCTATCGTAGGTGGTTTTATTGTCCATTCCGACCTTGGGTGGCGCTGGACTGCGTGGATAACACTCATTCTAGAGGTTGTTATAGGCGGTGTCGGAATACTTACCTTGCCCGAGACGTACAGCCCGGTGCTACTGCAGCGCCGTGCTATACGTCTTCGCAGAGAAACCGGGAATCCAGCCTTGCGTGCACCACTCAGCGATGAGAAGCTTACATTGGGTGAAGTGGTGTCCAAGTATATTTATCGTCCTTTGAAAATGCTTGTTTTGGAGCCAATCCTTCTTCTCATCACGTTATATCTGGCAGTCGCATATGGGATCCTTTACCTTTGCTTTTTTGCCTACCCAGTTTCGTTCCAAGAAGACCGTGGCTGGAAACACCCAGGGGTTGCCTCACTCCCTTTCCTGGGGATTCTTGTCGGAATCCTTTGCGGCTGCGCATTTATTGTATACATGACCAAAACGCGCTTTGCTCGTAAGATGCAAGAGGCTGGAGAGGTTATCCCCGAAGAACGTCTTCCGCCGATGATCATTGCCGCCTTCGTCCTCCCCGCAGGACTGTTTTGGTTCTCCTGGACCTCGTTTCCTACCATCTCGTGGGTGCCGCAAGTCATGGCCGGAATACCTATCGGATTCGGCATCATCGTCATATTTCTGCAGGGGCTTAGCTATCTCAGCGACATATATACGGTGTTCACGAACTCCGCCTATGCCGGCAATACGCTTGTTCGAAGCGGTTTTGGCGCCGCCTTTCCCTTGTTCGCAGCTCGGATGTTCCGTACGCTTGGTGTCCAGTGGGCAGGTAGCCTTTTAGCATTTTTGACTGTGGCAATGATTCCAGTGCCGATGCTGTTTTATGTATACGGGAAGAGGATCAGGGCGATGAGCCGGTTCACTCCGCAGTTTTAGAATACGGTTGGATGTTGCGGAAAAGGCTTGATCGGGCGTTCATATGGAGTATTGGCATGCATTACGGAGTACAGAGTAGAACTGAATAGATGAGCAAAGACATACAGAATCACATGAGGTCCGTAAAGGTTCATTACTAAGCAACTAGAATTACTAAGCGAATTTGTGATCTGCGCGTGACCACCTCTGAGCTAGCCTGATTAGGCGAGCAGTGGGCACCGCGCTGTGTTCGACGCGTGAGGGGAGATTAGCTCAGCTGCGAGTCGCGCTCCGAGTGAGAAAACCACAGATTTGCTGGTCGACGAGGGCGTGACGAGGAATGTGCCTTGTCGAATTGATTGCCACTGCCTTAGATTGTCGACTTTAATTGAAGCGCTTTGGTTTCGCGCCCTCCCCAGAACCTTGCGTGGGATGATCCGAGCCGTCGACACGCCAGTTCTAACGCGATCTCGCCAGTTGAGCCCACGGTAAAGCTTCCCAGTCGAGAACTGCACGTCGTAGCTTGAAGATGCCGTCGCGCAACCGGCGGGCGCGGTCCCCTACAATGGAGGTTGAGGAGGAAGAGCAATCCGGCTTGTACCGGCTCCGCTTCAATGAGCCCATCTCCTGGCGCGCAGGCAGGCCGATTCTCGTGGCCGATCTACTCCGGCGATTGGAGTCGCTCGCATCGGAGCTGCGGGAACTCGACCAAGAGGAGACGGACCGAGACTCGTTGACGAAAGTGTCGCAGGAACTCGCCAGTGGACATCTGCTAGGGCATAGGGACAAAGGCGTTCGGGCGTGGACCGCATGCTGTGTGGTGGATATACTGCGGCTCTGCGCGCCGGATGCCCCGTTTACCGCGAATCAATTGAAAGTAGGATACTGCCTGATTGGCCTCACTGCTAAAGAACGCCGACTGATGATGGTGCCCTGCAAAATAGGATATTTTTACAACAATCGTCACCTCGATAATACCCGCCCTTGCAAATCCGTCCAACGCATATAACGACCAACATGTTTATGTTCTATCATCCTTAGCGGAGGTGAAAAGTATCATCTTACTGACCGATCTTGATGCGCCTGATACTCTCATCCTCCCTCTCTTCTCGTCTTGCTTCGATATCGTCTCCGGCTCAGCGAAAGCCTCCACCGGCGAACCGTTGGCTAAAAATGTTGAGTATGACATGACCCGGTTACTAGTCCCCATCATTGACGAGGCGTCCAGTCTCGCACCAGAGGTTGTGGATGTCATTGTTGCTCAGTTTCTCCGCGTCGACCCGCGGCTTCTGGAAGGCTCTGGGAACGCCAAAAATAAAAAGGAGGCAGCCGTTGACAGCAAGCAGTCAACTCTCTGGATGAAAGATTACCCCCCCGCATATAATATGGCGAAAGCAATTTGCAGCGCATGTCCCGACAAAATGACGAGTTATGTTAGCCAGTACTTCAATAATGTTATAATCGATGCGTCCGATCCCTCAGCCAATGGACACTCGAAGCGACATCGTCAGGTTGACTTTACAGATTCTGACGATGAAGGAGAAAATGTGAAAGAGCTAGACAAGGCTCATCGTTTGATTCGGGAACTATGGCGTGCTTGCCCGGATGTTTTGCAGAATGTGATACCGCAGCTAGAAGCAGAGCTATCTGCCGAGTCCATGTCGCTGCGATTACTTGCGACGCAGACAATAGGAGACATAGTTTCTGGTATTGGGGTGGCTGGTCCCCCTACGCCTGCATCAATGGACCCAGCCGCTTATCCGCCAATACCGTTTGCTAGAGATTCTGAATCTGATACATCGACCTCTAACGCGTTATTAACACCTCTGTCTCCAAAACCCTTCTCCCAAGCTCATTCCGCTGCTTATGACAGTTTCCTTTCCCGACGGCAGGACAAGTCAGCATCGGTACGTGCCGCTTGGGCCACCGCGATAGGACGAATTCTCCTTACATCCGCCGGTGGTTCTGGATTGAGTGACAACGAGGAGAAAAGCCTATTAGAAGGGCTCAAGAGAATGTTGATAGATGCTGATGAGAAAGTTCGAATTGCAGCCGTGAAAGTCATTGGAACGTTTAGCTTTTCCGATGTGATCAGGAAATTGGGCATTGACGGCGGGCTCTCAGAACCAGGCTCCCTCCTTTCCACTTTAGCCGAAAGAGTAAAGGATCGGAAGCATGCAGTTCGCCAGCAAGCCATGCCTATCTTAGGAACAATGTGGGCTGTTGCTTCAGGCGAAATCGAAGCGAACAACGAGCTGGTCGTTCCCATTCTTAAAGATGCTCCATCGAGAATACTTGACGCCTTCTATACGAATACAGACGAATTACACGTCCTGCTTGACCATGTCATATTCGAAATTCTTTTGCCTCTGTCCTACCCGCCAATCAAGGTTAAGCGCTCGAAGTTCGAGTCAAGTCAGGCCCGGAAATCGAAGTCTTCGGAGGAGGAGCAACCTGATCCAGACGCTGTGCGTCTGCGCCGTATCTTAACGCTAGCTAAGAACTTGGATGAAAAAGCGAAAGCGGTTTTCTTCGCTCTTCAAGGCCGACAATTGAAAATGAGGGCGTTTGTGACCTTCTATCTTGAAGCCTGTGAAGAGTATAATGTGAGATTTCCTGCTCCGGTACCGTTCAACATAAGCTAATACTCTGCGGTTAGGGAGGTGTAATGGATAGCGATGAGGATGTAATCAAAGCTAGGCTGACGAAGGTTATTGATACTTTATCCAAGACCTTCCCGGACTCCTCGCTCGTATCCGCTGATCTTTGGAAATTCGCTAAAATGCATGATCGCCGAAGTTATCAACTGGTACGGTTCGCCATGGCTGCTGCATCCGATTATCGCACTGTTACCAAAGCCATTCGGGAGTTGACAAGTCGTATCCAATCCAACACGTCGGCCACTTCATCCATGCTTGGGAATCTACTTCCGCTAGTTTATCGAAGCAGCTCTTTAATTTTCAACAGAAGCCATGTACCAGCCATAATGAAACTGTCGAGAAATGACGAATTAGGACTAGGAAATGTTGCCCATGAGATGCTAAGAGAGATTTCTTCACATAACCCCGAGGTCCTTGAAGCGCATGTTCAAGAGATGTGCAGAGACTTGGAGGCCCAAGCCCCTACGTCCAACTGCCCCGATAACCCAGGGGTGGAGGAGATTCTGAAAGCTTGTGCTGGTTTCGCAAAGAAACTTCCTAATAAGCTTCCAAAAGAACGAAATTTCTTAGTTGCACTCTCGAATTATGCATTATACAGCTCCTCTCCACCTGCAGCAAAGAATGCTGTCACTATTCTGCTGGCTGCCTCTGATCGGAAGCAGATGTATGCTAAAGATCTGATCAAGAAGAGTGTCAAGGGATGTTCGTATGGGTCTGAACATTTTCTTACCAAACTCGCTACTATCTCACAATTAAACCTTCTCTCACCGCAGGAGGTTGATGAAGAAGGAGATTTGATTCTTGATATCGCAACAAAACAGGTTCTACTCACCAATCGAAACCCCGAACCCGATTCAGATTATTCGTGGTCGGACACCACGGATGAGGAGACATCGGCGAAAGAATGGGCTCTTAAGATACTTGTGAATCGTGTCCGGTCGAAAGAAATACCCGAAGACGATGATGGCGAATTCCAAGCGTATGCATCGCCACTTTATACCATTCTCAATGCCCTTATCACAAATCGGGGTGAGCTCTCTAAAGCTGCAGATACGCCTGCAATACAAAAGACAAGGCTTCGTCTCCTCGCTGCAAAATCCGTTCTCAAGCTGTGCGCATCTCGAGTTCTATGCGATCGGATGTTCACACCGGCACATTTCAACTCGATTGCCCTAGTTGCGATGGATCATGTGTTCGAGGTTAGGTCTGGATTCATATCTCAACTAAAGAAAAGATTGATCCAAACACCACAGCTGCCCCCACGCTGGTATACTATCACATTTCTATTGGCATTTGAGCCGGTTCCCAATCTAAAGGATAGCACCTTAACGTGGCTTCGGTCTCGAACTGCATTCCACTCGCGACAATCTCAGGGTAAATCGTCAGAGCAGCAGACATTGATGGAATCCATATTCGCACGTCTCCTCTCTCTTCTTGCCCATCATCCTGACTTTCCGCCCGAATCCTCGGAGGAATCGACCAAGGTCGATGATTTGATTGAGTTTACCAACTATATCCTATTCTACCTGACCGCAGTCGCGAGCGAGAAGAATCTTTCCCTAATTTTCCACATTGCCCAGAGGGTGAAGCAGTCCCGGGACGCGATATCCACCTCAGATTCAGATGTATTCTCCACCCGACTCCATACCCTCTCAGACCTCTCTCAGGCTACAATTCGCTGCTTCGCAGAAATTTACTCACAACAGCACAAGATTGGTGGTAGCAGCGGAAGCGGCGCCGCAAATATTTTACAAACGTATCCTGGCAAGATGAGATTGCCGAGTTCGCTCTTCGCGACACTGAGCAGCCACCAAGAGGCGAAAGACATTGCCACAAAAAATTTCCTTCCACAAGAAGTCGAGGACAGGTTAGAAAAAGTGGTTCGAAACTATATAAAGCCAAAAACGAATTCTGCAGGAAGAGAACGGAAAACGGAGTCAGGCCATAGTGACAAGGGTCGCGATGAGGGAACAGGCTCTGCAAAGAAGCCTCGCAAAGACAAGAATGGTCGTACCATTCCAATACGGAGACGATCATCCGCTGGCACGGTCGTAACGAAAGAAACGAAGAAAGGCAGGTGAGGACGACTGGGAAAGCGATGATGGGGGAGACTCGCACAAAGAAAACTTCGCTGTCGTCTGCTGCTCGGCGCCGGAGTGGTCGCGGGTCAGCGAAGACGGGTGTCAATTATGCGGAAAGAGGATAGCGACGAGGCGGATAAAGAGATGGAGCAATGGGAAGGAACTGGTGCTCGAACGGCGAACAAGAAGCATCATGAGTCTGTCGACTCGGAAGGCGAAGAGGTGTCTGAGCTTTCGTCCGCCCCAGACAGCCTGCATTCTGATAGCGCGGATGGCGGAAACAACGAAGATACGGAGATGAGCGATGTTGAAAAGTCCTCTACGCCCGCTCAGGCCAAAAGAGGTTCCAAGTCCAAAGAATCCATGTCCCCGGTTGCTGTGTCGAAGACTGGGCGCGGACGACAGCCAAAGTCAAGGCCGGAGGAAGACGATGAAAAGCCCACAAAGGCGGCTCGCAGGTCAACTCGACGAGGGCGCTGACAAAGGAAACGGTAAAAGGCTGGCATCGATGTCTTCACTTTGATAGCTCGTAAGGATCTTTACATATCTTTCCCGGGCGTGCGTCGAATTATATGCTTTCTCCCCTTGATCTAACTGTCTTGTATGTTTTGTGTCTTCAGCAATGATATAGTTACTGTTGAATGAAATCCCAAACGGGCATAGCGTGTAGTTTACTCTGACCGCCTTAACTCAGTTATCAATCTCGGCCTCAACCTCACTTCATCTTCAACTTCATCTTCATCTGTTGTCTGACTGCAACATGGAGTTGTGGATAAAATGGATTGCATTCTTCGTCTAGTTACAAAGCACCACCACACCTCAAGATCAATTCACATTCAATATACCCTCCCCCCCACAACAACTCTTTCTCAAAGCAGTCCCTACCAGCTCCAGGTTGTGCCAGCCGGGCAACGTTAACCGCCGCCTGTCAGAAACGGCAGATCCATATCGTCCTCGTCCGGTTGACTGTACCACCAGATGAGAAACGCCACGTCCCGGGCAGACGGGTCTCCATTTGGCTTGATTTCTGAGCCGTCCGTCTTCGTGATGACTTTCTTTTTCAGCCCCATTAAGCCCCTTTTAGCCCCAAAGTCGCTTCCGTATATCATAATTGAGCGCCAATCGATGTAGTCTGCGGCATCGATATTCGCACCATGTTCCAACACAACTCCCGAACGATAGTCACCGTTGTACGGTATAAAATTGCTTGCCGTAAACTCCGCGCTGACAGCTCCATTCAGATTTCTGCACAAACTGTTGATGCTCCCAGGATACTTTTTCTTTATTGTATCATAGTCGGCCAGGTTTTCGCATTTGAATGTGATGTGCTTTTCTGCTCCGGGCTTTTGATGCTCGTGAATGAGCCCAAAGGCATGACCCAGCTCATGAACCATTGTGTGGACTATGTTCTTGTCCGCACCCTTGAAATCAACATTAAACTTCATCTCAGCCTCTCCATTGTTGCCAACAGTGGTGGTTGGACTTGAGTCTGTCAACTTAACAACGAGAGTATCTTTTCTTTCTCCCACCGTGTCAGGGCAGTTGGCCAGCTTCTGTCTTCGCAAGGGAAAGCCTTGATGCTCTGCCCATACCGCCCATCCATCGTCAAATATTTCTTCCAATTCCTTCCGTTTGGCTGGGTTTTGGACATCGAAGCAATATTTCATCAGCCCGTTGCGCCACCGCCTTCGCGTCCACGAACCCGCTCGAGGCATTATTTCGGCTGGTTCATTGATCGATGCCGAGGCTGCTTCGCACACGCAGAGGATTTCGGCGAGGATGTAAATGAAAAGGTAAAGAATTTTTGATCCGGACCGCATTCTTTGTGATTTCACCACCCAGTGGCTACTCGCTCCGTCGGACAGTATCCCGTTCCGGGTATCGATATAGTAGAAAAGATGACTTGGACTTTGTTTTTGGATGGTGGCCGCTTCCGTTTTGCGTCTGTGACCAAGCAGCAACATGGCATCTTGTCGCTCGCTTTATAGCCCTGGGTGCCTTGGTGCTTGATCAATCCCAGCGACTTTCTTCGAAACAGCATATCCGGCGCTATTGCATCTACCGTCAGCAATGATTTTCTGACCAACACAAGCACGAACACAGCCCAGTACAGTTTCTCCCGCTACCTTTCTATTGTAGCGTTGGAACGCAGTAAAAACAGAGCTACATCTGGTATAAAGTATTGTTTTGCTGCAGTTGTTTATCTGATGCAAGTTAGTTAGCCCCTTTACCTTTGGACCCCTGTTGAATTAGTTAACTAACTTAACTAACTAACAAACTAACTCGTTAGTTAACTAACCAGTTGATACCCACACCCCCAAGCCTGAAGAGAAGAGTTTATGCTGAGGGCAGCCTGGGCTGTGTATGTTAAAACCACCACACAACAACCTTTGTCGGAATAAGCAAAGGACCAAAGGACCAGTCCAACATGAGGATGAACCACAGTTACTAGAGCATAGTCCATTCCCGCAATTAACGCAACGAATCTCCGCGTTTCGTATTAAGATTCTACAAATATCCCTTTAATTGTATACCACACGCCATGGCAATGGCTGAACGACTCTGCCAAAGCTATTTTCGGCACATACATAGACAATGCTATAAGAACAGCTGCTCTTCAGCATCAATGGTGTCGATGTACGCTTCATGTGCTTCCTATCTTTGCCAGCCGATTGACACCAACGTTGCGACTCAGAAAGATGCATTTCGGGTTCTCAGCCGCCTTCAAGAGCGGCACAATGATTTTGCTTTTGACACTTCTTAACCTTTGCTCTCTCTCCCTGGCCGTATCGGACTTGTTCATGATAGTACCGTATAACACCGCGTCGGGATGCATCAGTCTTCCAGCGAATAGTTATATAACGACCAGTTTTCCCACGGATGCCAGAGGCAATCCCATTCTGCCCGCTGTCACGATGTCTGCCAAAGACACCAAGACATCATCCGAGGAAAATACTACTTCAAGAACTTCGAATTCGAGGTCACGAACAGAGACAGGAACGAACACCAACACCGGCACGATGACAGGAAGTGGAACGACAACTACTATCCTATCCTGTTCTGGTTCTAGTGGTTGCCCAACTTCAATTCCCACCCTTCTACCAGTGAAAGAACGTGACATGCTCTATGCAGAACGAGCTATATTTTCATCTCCTGCTACAACCACTAGTCGCTCCTGTTCTGATTCCAGTGGTTGCCCAGCTTCGGTCCCGACTCTCCCTCCGGTGATTGAACCTGACATGCTTTATGCAGAACCTTCCATGCTGTCGACTTCTGGTAGGGCTAAGACCACAACGACGAAAGATACTCCTACTTCCACAAAGAAGACGACAACGACAACGAATACTAAATCAGCAACAACTACCACTTTCAAGAAGCAGGCCACAACCTTATCATCTCAAACAAAAACAGCCGCCGGCACACACTCTCCGGCTGCGCCGGCCGTATTACAAAAATGTCACGGTCTGAAGACGAGAAAGTATGTAACCCGAGATACAGTGAAAGACTTGATCAGTTCCTTTTGCCGCGCAGCAGTCAAACAAGGAAAATTAGACAAAAACTCTGGTGCAATCTCGCGAACATATCTCAAAGGCACGATGGAAGAAGTTGAGATAGCAATTGATTGGGCACCTAAGCTTGACTTTAAGCCTACTTTGAAGGATTGCGAGCGGAACTTGATTGATAGGGCATTAGATGGCTGTGATGGGAATGACCCCAATAATCCAATGAACTGGAAGGGCGGTGGGCGTGTGACAGTTGGCCCTGTGACATACCGCATCGATCCAAGGACAAAGCGCCACCCGGCTCCGAAGAAGGTTCTCGGCACCGCGTATCCTAGGTGGAATGAAAGAGAATTTCTCTTCCGGGTCTGGGGCCGCGGATGGCTTAACTCCGATTTTGGTGTGGCGCTCCAAAGGGAGGTGAAGAAGAAATGCGGTCGAACCCCGTCCGAGTTCAAGTTCGAGTATCGGTTGGAGGATGACGGCTCGGAGTGGTCCATAGACGTTAATACTGGTGTGCGAGATGCTCACTGTTTACTTGAGGCTGCGAAGAGTGCTGGCGGGCCGAAGGATTTCGCTTTCCACCGCACTCTACCTGAGGCCCGCTCTTGAACATATATTTCCTTACTATAAAGTTATGTTTTATTGCGAAGAATCTCCTAGCAAAGCTATTAAAGCTCTTGAGAATAATTCTATTCCACTCCCCATGTAGCCGCAATTCTCAATCCTTTTAAACAATCAAATAACTTTCAAACTGGCCATCATCACCAGCAGAATCGACCGTTTTACAAGAAGGCTGCTTTGCTGGTTGAGCAACACCCTTATAAAATACATGAAATATGAAGGGGTTTATTAGAAATCCCTTGTGATGTTTCAATACTTAAGGACAGTTTATTTTCATGTAGTTTAAGTGCATCTAGGACCCAGCTGCTGTATAACTATATAGCTCTTCCTGGGAGGCTCAAAATGTATCAGTATTGTCATATTCATTGATCGATATATTGGACTTCTATTGACTCGCACGGTTTGGCACTCCTAGGTCATGGAGACAGTAGTATCTAAACAGCACACCCATTCTATCTTCATCTAAACTCCCGTATCCCATCTACGATTCCTTTAAACGCCAAACATCAAATGAACAGAAATTCCAGATCGCCTTGCCACGGGTAGACAGCATAAAAATCAAAGGGACCTTAATCAATTGATCAAACCTGCCTTGCATCTTCCGTCATTAAGAATCGTCATTCCTCTTTCATCACAGCTCGATAAAAGGGTCTGTGTATCTTCAATGTGGAGAGTACGCAACGATAACAACGTGGACGAGCTAACGTTGCCCTTGGTATTAGCAAAATAAGGAACCTCAGGAGAGGTACCGTCTGCTGGAGTATTCAGGCCCCGGGTATCACGACAAGAAAAACGCATATTCTCCTCACCCTCCTCCGACGGCGAATCAACCTGCCTCTCCATCTCCTCCAGAGCCTGCGTCAGCCCATCAATCATCTTCTTCGCCACCGCTTCGTGCCGGACCAGGCTATTCCGCCTCGTCGGCGGCGCCCAGGTGCCCATGGGCGACAGCTCCGACACCATTGACCGCGGCCGATCCGACATGGCGGTGGGAATCGAGTATGCAGCCAAGCTCCGCAGGTGGTCTTGGTCAAAGGGCCCGCGGTACTTTGAACGCGGCACCTCGTGCGGCTTGTAGATTTCGATCTTGGGCTTTCCATCTTTCCCGAGCCGGGGCTTCACTTTGACCGTTTTGACGCCGGCGAGGACGACGGTGGTGGTTTTTGGCTTGGAGCGCTGGGGGGCTGGGGTGGTGATGGAGGAAGAAGGGGAGGAGGAGGAGGAGGCGGCCGAAGTTCGGGAGAAGACCCGTTTTATTTTCTCGCGGATCGGCATCGTTCGGCTTTGGGAGAAGGGGAAGACGAAAAAGCAATGTGGACTTGTCGGCAGATCGACAGATCACTGAGATCAGCCGTATCCGCTGGAGGATATCTCTTCAAAGGACAATGGCTGGCGAGAGGCGTGGGAAAGAAGCAGTGAGGAGGTCGAATTGTCGCATCTCAACCGTCCTTTCATTATCTCCTCGGGCTAGGATGGCCCGCTGTTCGTTTCCAACGCGCTTTTTTGGCGCATATAAACCTTGCAAGCCGGTGTTACTCCACTCCATCTTGGGCTCCGTGCGCGGCGTCAGGTAACTAGGTTGGCTCTGGCTGCTGTAGGAGAGCTGGATGATGTCGACGATGCGGTGTTTGGCTGAAGCATGTTGAACACTGATGATGGGATAAGTAAAACTGCTTTTGGATATCTAGCAATGCATTTTCATTTCTGCTCGGTCTCCGTAACCCAAAAACGAACATCTAATCATACAGAATCTCAAACCATGGCATACCATCATCATTCTCAGAGTAACTCCCAATCCATCTCCCGTAGAAGGTCCCAATGGACAAGTGAAGTGCGCGAATAGGGGAAATAACAGGGTCTAAACCCGTACAAGACTGTGCATCGTAAGACTCTCAGTCTTTGAACTCAGCAGTCTCATGAGTACGGGGAGCACAAACGATATATCCATCCCGAGTACACACATCATCTCTTGCGAGAGAGGGTACAACAAGGACTGATATTGACGCCTTACCCCCAACGACACTCTAGTCAACAACCTGAAATCCAAAGAAATGAAAGGGGGCAAACTCGGGCATTAGGGGGTATAAGGGAAGGAAACGGAGAACCGAGCAGAGTATCAACCGGAAGCCAACAGACAGACAACACAATGGAATCAGGGCTAAATTCCAGAAACCAGATCCCAACGCCCTTCCAACTCCCCCTTTTTTTATTTGGTCAAGTTCCAGTAAAAGTGAAAGCCGTAAACATTTTTCATGACCCAAACCAAACTCCGAACCGAATGTCACAACTCCAGCGCCCCAAAACCCATGCACCAAACGCAATGCAAAACCTAACCGGAAAAGATTTGCTTTGAAATATCGATCGTTATCGAACCCGTCTGAACCGGCGAAAAAGTCGAGCCCACGAACCAAACGACTGCTCCAAATCCGTTCGAGATTGTCGTCCAACGAAACCAGCAACCAAATCACCCAACCCGTGTAAGCACCATTGTTTATCGTTTGCGCCAATCGGTATGACTCGAGGACGTCGCGTAGTTGAAATCGCTATAGCGTCTATTTTTCCCAACCACGAAAAAGAGATAAAGGCGTGAAAAATTGTCAAACTACCGACCATCTCGACGTCATACGGAGGAATTGAGATCTGACAAGTTTTGCGCAAGCATCTGAAACTGATCTGCCCTCTTGGTAAAAAATAGTCCGTAGCTACAGCTCCGGAGAGGGGGACTGAGGCCAAAAGGACCCTCAGTTGGTGACATCAGTCGACGAAGTCGCAGTCAGGCCCTGGAGACGCTGACTGATCAGACCTTGGAGAGATTGAAGGAGTTCAATCTCACTTGTCGCGTTGCGAACCGTCTCCGGCGATTCAGCAACAAGCTGGGAGACCAGCTGCCCTACTCGGCTAGAAGCTGGTTGAGGGTTTGCCATTGCCAAAAGGGCCAAGGCACCCTCGCGCTCTTCGGGGCATCGATCCACCAATGCACCGGCTGCATTGGCGACCCCGACTGAGGATCCGGGTGTCCCCCCGGTGGGGACAAGTAGAGCCCGGGCTTGGTCCTCGACTGCCTTGAGGGCATTGAGCGCTCTCCTTTCAGCGTGATCCCGACGGGCGCGCTCGATAAAATTCTGGATCATGCCGCGCTCGGTCACCCGGAAACCCTTTCCGTAATTGTCTTCTTGGTGGAAAGAGTCCGTCTCGTAAGCCGACGGCAGCAGCTCAACGTCGGCAAGCTCGTGGTGACGACGTCGACGGCGGAATCGAACGCCGTCACCAAGGCCCTTGAGCATGCTGTCCAGGTGATTTGGGCATTTCCAGTAGTGCCGTGGATTGCTGCTTCCCGTGAACTGTAGTGGCGGATGAGAATAGTTCTCATCCAGGCAATCCAGATGCCACCACGACGAACAATGGTCGCACTTCATGACTTGTCGTTCACCTTCAAGATTGGCCCGGTGACATCTCGTGCATATGATCAGGTTTCCATTGTCGTCTCGTTCGTGGAAGACTTTGACACGGGCATCGGCCATCTGATCCCAGGTCAGCTTCTTTGTCTCTTTGACCGTCGGTGGGAGCTCTTCTGGCCGATGGTGTTCGTAGGACCCATCCTCCGCAGTCTGTACCTCTGCGAACTCGTTACGGATCTCGGCCGGCACCTCATAGCGAGCTCGGGGGATCGTGTCCATTGCCGCCTCAAACACAGCCCCTGGGCCTTTCCGCTCACAAGTGGGACAGAACCACTGTCCCGCAGGTGGGGAATTGGCATCCAGAGGTGGACTGAGACAAGCAAAGTGGAACGAATCCACACAACCGTCGCAGCACAAGAGGTTGCCGGTACCATTGCACACACGGCAAAAGTCGTTGTTGTCGATATCCGCTGGTTTCGATTTGCGATTTTCCACAGACTGGACAGAAGCTGCATCATCGTCGTCAAATGAACGTGCAAGCCTCCGGGGAGGTTGAGGTTGAGGCTGCACCACGATGCGAGTCCGAAGGTTGCTGGCGCGAACCTTGTAGCCAGGATACTCCTTTGCATTCGACAGCGCCCTTTTCTTGCCCGCGAGCGCCACGAGTTCAGGATGTTTACCGACTCTTTTCTTTGGACAGGCTGGAATCACTGGGTCAGTGGGAAGATATGGGTTGGGGTCTTCCTCTTCAGGTCGCAATCCTTCATCCCAAAGAGGTTGCCAAATCTTTGGTGGCTGTATTGGAGCGGCGGTATCAGCTTCCAATGATTTGGTGGTATCGGCTTCCAAGGATTTGGCAGTTGAAAGTGAGGATGAAGATTCCTCACGGCCTTCAACAGTGGCGGCAGCAACGGGTTCTTCGGCTTTAAGCTTCTTGACCACATCCCGGAGTGCGGCCTGGAACACAGCTGTGTGTTCTTGGGTTGGATCGGCAACAACATCGTCCATGATCTTTAAAAGAAAGGGATCTGTTTCCGCTGCAGTCAACATCCAACGGAGTCCCTCTGCAACTTTGATGTCATTGGACGCTTGAGCCCTGGAGATTGTTGACTCGAAGACTTCGTTGAATCTCTCTTTGCTGCATTTGAGTTCCATTGGGACGGGTGGAGCTGTCGAGGTATTGACTGGTTGAGCGATATCGGCTTCCAAGTCCTTGCCAGAATCAGAATGGGTATGCTGGACAACCGGCTCATTTTCTTCAGTAACGATATGCTGTTCTTCTTCGGCAGGGACGGTTTCTGGCGTCACCGGTTCTTCTTGGGACGTGGAGGCGGCTGTCGAATCATTGATAGCAGTCTCGAGTGCTTGAGTAGCTTTGGCTTGACTGGTTGCTTTTGCAGGTTTCTTCGATTTCCTTGATCTCCTCGATTTAGCGACTCGACCTCGCTTTTTGCCCTTGGCAGCCTGCTTTTTGGCTACAGTTTCCTCGTCGTCTTCAACAAGTTTTCCAGTTCTAAGATTGGCAAGGGTAGGGCGAGAGCCAAGACCGAACTGGTGCTGAAAGATACCGCCTCTCCGAACCTTGAGATCTTCGAAACTCGGCTTTGTCTTCTTCTTCCATGATCGAGGTTCCTTCCACGTTGATGGGGGCAACGGGCGAGTATTACGTGCACTGGGGGGACGCGACGGATCGGTTTGGGATTCGGCACCAGTAGTCTGTTGATCGGAAGATTCTTGAATGCTTTCTGCTGGGCCAACTTTGGTCTTTCTCTTTCGCTTGCGTGCGGGTTCTTCGGCAGTGTTACCGACAGGAACACTGGTTTTTGCACCAGTTTTGCGCTGTTTCTTAGGACGTGAAGTCTCGGAGGAGGTAGCAGTATTGCTTTGAGGTGCATCGAGAGGGGTTGCAGGACGCGAAGAATCTCCAGCAGCGCGAGTGCGAGAACGGAGCTGAGGAGCCATTGTGATCGAAGGAGGTTCTTGTACAGCTTGCGGTAAATAATCTACACTGGATTAGTTCAGGGCAATCCAAGAAAACAATGAAGCAAGACTTACTTGATTAGAATCCACAAGCTGACAATGCACACACCACGCGTTGTTGTCGTAAAAGCGAACTGGCCGCGTGTGGTTGTGGCCGTGGGCGGGAGTTGAGAAGTTTTGAAAGGGAGAAAACGGAGATGGCGCTGTGATGGTTTCCAAGCTGCCAAACTCACAGCAAAAGCCCAACCACACACTCCGAACAAGCACAACGCCAAATTCGAACAAACGGTGACTTGCCTTGACAGATAGTAGAATCAATCTGGTTTGACGCGTAGATGCGTTTTGATTATGGACACTCGAGAATTTCGAGCTGTCTTAATGAGAAAAGGTGATGACCGCGGGGTTCAGGGGTTAACAGAAGGAGAAGAGATGGTCAAGGAGGACTCGAGTAACAAAGATAACTAGTCACCAAGACGATGCTTCGAAGGCGAGAAAGAATCTCTATGCAGCGAGACGAAGCAGATTCAACGGTGAAAAGTTGAGAATTCGGAAGCAAGATTCGGCTAAAAGGAGCAGTGCAAAAGCAGTTGGTTCAATAGAAGACAGCTTGGACAGCAGTGTAGAGTACGAGACGACGCTTGATAGCAAGATGTCTTGAAAGAAGAGAAACGGAGCGTGGTGGTGGATTGTGGAAATCGGGATGTTGTGAAGAAAAAAGGGTGGTGGGAAAGCGAGAGAGAGAGAGAAGCGAGGAGAAATTTTATATTGCGAGGCAGGACTCCGGGATCAACAACGCGTCGGGTCTGCTAGAATTTTCTGTTCCTAGGCTGGCAGACAAAGAAATGTAAACAAGTTTGCGGAGAGTTCCGTCTGTCTGTCACAAGTGAGGGCTCGAGGCACCCGTTTGATATGTCTCCTGGCCTCACTCGAGACCGCGGAGATGGCACACACGACTTCTGTTCCCCGCTACTCTTGCTACCTGGTACATAGATATGAGCCTTGGTGCCTCCTGATGAGTCTATCTTACCAGCGGGACACGCTTCATCCCTGTACAGGCTGGCCGTGGCCGTCTATCTGGGGAGCCGGCCACCAAGGAGGAACACAAAAAAAGGGCAGGGAACACAATCAGTTTTCATTTCAAGTAGAGCATGAAGCTATTTAACAGTGCCCCTTAACCTGTATTTCCCCATTTCCATGTAGCTGAAGTATGTAGAACCACTACCAGAGTTCTCCCATTATATGCAAATAGTTCCGGCGGGATGGACACCACCTGTCATAAAAACAGATCCTAGTTTGCAGCAAAACGGAAATTCCCTGTGAAAGGGGAATCTCACTCCTCTTCGCTGGAAGATTCCTCGGCGTCTTCAGCGGCCTTTTTGGCAGGCTTCTTCTTCTTCTTCTTGTTCTTGCCCTTGGCTCCTGTGGACTTTGCAAGTGGCTTTTCGAGGATTTGCAATATTTCCTCGTCTGTAATCTTTTTATCGGATTCGACCTTGGACAGGTCAAGCGGCGGGGGAGCTGCCAGTCGCGTCAAACCGTTCTTGAGAATAGCTAGGTATAACAGTTAACAAGGGATCTGCCAAGAACAGGGCTCACGACCGCGAGGTTGAGGTCCCCCTATAAAGATATGAATCACATACCAACAGTTGTGAGGAGTCTCGAAACTGGAGCACCGTCTGCATCTCCGGCAGGTTCATATTGGCGAACAACACCACCGCGGACACATTCAACCACACCGACCTTTCCCGCTTTCTCGTCGTCGAGTTGACGAAGACTGAATGGGAAAGTGCCAAACTTTCTAACGATCTCGGATAGCGTCTGCCTGGAGCTTGGGCGCTTCAGGATATAAGTGGTGGCAGTACGACGATGCAAAGTGGCTCTGTTCTCCAGAGTCTTGACTTTTCCCGATCCAAGACTGAGGCCAACCTCCACTCCCCACACTTCCATGACTTCAGGAGTTCCCTCACCCTTAACCCCTGCACCAGGAGCAACAATAATCTTCTTTTTGCCCTCGATCTCGTTGTGGTCAAACAGCCAGGTGGTGGTGTTCTCAACCACAGTGCAATCGTAACTTTTTGCAACCTTCTCCAACAGAGCAGAGATCTTGGTTTGAGTAGGAGGTTTCTCAGCCGCAGCCTTTTTCTTTTCTTCCTCGGTACCTGCTGCCACAAGACCGGGAGGGACCATAAGCCTAAGAAGGAGCTCATTAGCGTAATATGTTGCTAGGAGCAAATCCGCTTCGCGGCCCGTAATCTTGGTCGTAGGCCCCTCTGCGGACGGGACAATGATGGTATCGCAAACGATAGTTCCGAAGCCATCAATTTGAGCACCCAATTGGATTTTCACAACCTCCCCTGCCTTTAACGTCGTAGCAGCTTCGTCTGCGTCGGAGACCAGGGGAGTGTATGGCGTCACAAACGAGCTTGGGGAAACGGTGGTCGGGTGAGAGATACCTGGCACGACGTTATCATACGGGCGCAGTTGAAAAGACGGGAAGATGACGAAATGCAGAAGCTTCAATCTTGTGCGAGATTGCATGGACCACACGGACCTTTGGGGACCTTTTTGCCTTTGTAGACCTTTCCCACTTCTTCGTCCAGGAGCTTGTCACCCTTTTCACATAGCTCTAAGATCTTTGCGCCCTCCACGCACCATCCTATATTTCACGTTAGCATATCCGAATGCAGTCGTAGCTTCGGCCGTCCTCTATTGCTCAGTGCAAGAATGGCGGTGCTCGTCACTGGAGAGTTCGAAATGGATGAGACGGTACCTGTGACAGCTTCAAGGACCTTGTGGGAGATTTGAGCGGCAGTTTTGTACTTGGTCAAAGTATCGGGGTTGTTGAGGGTGTAGTCTATGGAGTCTTTCATCAGTCTCTCGTCCAACATGCTTGGTCGGCACAATCAACAACAGAGCTGGCACCTGGACGCAAATGACAGCGCGGGGTACGGGTATGACACCGCAGCCATAAGAAGAACGATATAGTCCAAAGACGCTGCCGTCAAACAATCATGTCGGACAAGCTACGCCCATGGATTTACACAAATGATAGCAAAACAAGACTCACCAATCTCCGTGGATTCGGCCATTATTAATCGTCAGATCCGTGGCAATGCCGAGAGTGCCGCCAGAGCTATAGCAAGGAATACAGTCCCAATTGACGTGAATGTCGAAAATGGAGAGGAGTCGTGTGAGCGGGATTGCAGGGCTCCAGGGAGATCAGGCTGGATGGCGGGTGGTGGTATTAGGTGGGGTGAAACGACGAGAATTGCCGTGAGCAAAGACCAGTCGAGCGCATTCCTTTGCGATGAACCAAGATCCTTCACTGGCATCATGGTCTGACCATGTGCCGGAAGACTCTCTGATCTCGGGCTCCGGCGAGGACTTTTCAAATATCCTTGACTTCGAGTTTGACCTAGCCGACCTAGAAAGCGCTGTTGACCAACATGGTCGGGCCATTACCACCTCCGCGTCGCAAACGCCGGCTTCTATGGTGCACGATACTCAGTTGACTGGAATGGAGGGGATCGAAACGACTCAACCCCACCAATACCCGACGTCGTTTGTGGAACAAATGCGGTCTATTGATATGCAGGGAGTCAATTGCATGCAGTCTCAAGTGAATCAAACGTCTGTCTATTTTCAAAAACAACAGCAGCAGCCTCAACAAGGTATCATGCCACAAAGCTTTGGGCAACCACATCAATTTGTCCCACCTACACCGAACAGCACCGAGTTACACGGTGGTGTGGGACGGTATCCCCCTCAGCTAGATTCTGCAACCCAGCGGCACTATGAACCCTATACTCGAGCCACCGATGATCCAGTGAGCATTCCCCA